CCTACCGTATTGACCTCGCTATCGCTCGGTCAATACGGCAAGGCCTCAGTTTGAGATTTTCCCGTAACGACCTCACTCTCGGTTATTAAGTAGTTAAGGTTGGAAAAAATTATCACTTAAGCAGTGATTCTACAATATGGAAAAGAACTTTCTGATCAGGAATTGTGGTTTGACTTAAAAGTTTCATTATTAGTGCCTCGTACATGTAAATGAATGGTTACTGTATCATTCTTAGACAGATTAGTTTTGTTGGGAAATCACCGAGATGCTTGGGTGTTTGGAGGTATTGATCCTTCAAGTGGAACGGCTTGTATGTTGGAGATTGGCAAGGCCCTTGGAATGAAGTACAAACAAGGTATGCCTGGACTCTTGTTAATTTGTCAAAATCATTAATTTAATATATCCTGTATTCATTGTTACAATACATGTATTTGTGAGTGTCTACTGTGCAGTGATCTGTCCAATCAGAGGTGTAGTAAAAAAATGAAAATAAAAACACCTTTTATTTAGCCTCATATGTGTTTATAGCACAGAGGCTAATGGGGCTGAACAAACAATTGAAACTGATAATTCAAATTGAACATAACATTGTTAAGAATCCCAACTGGCCGGAGGCAAACCAGTTGGCTATTTACAAGCATGGTCAAGGATTTGAATGTGGGGCTACTGTGAAACAAATCCAGGTAGTGGTCAGAGTGGGACTCAAACCAGAGACCGCTGGATTGCGAGTCCGACACGCTGACCACTCTGTACCACCCTACCTCCTACCTCCTCAGTTTCTGGTATCAGGAAGATAGAGATTCAAGATTAAATCATTTGTTCACCGGTTAAATTCTGATGATCTCTTCCCTCTTTCCAGTCCATCCTGGCATGTCCCCCTGCCAGTTGCACATTCCTCCCATTCAACAAACTTCTTCATAGGCTAAAGCTAACCAAGGCAATATTTTTCTACCTTTAGGGTGGAGACCCCGTAGATCCATTGTTCTCTGTAGTTGGGGTGGAGAAGAATATGGTCTTTTAGGATCAACTGAGTGGGTTGAGGTTTGTATTTACCCCCTCTATTTTCATGTCAACAACTTTTTACTGTCACCATAATTTTTTTTCGTAGTGAGCTGCCTATGGTATTTTTAACTATTTTAATTTCCAGCTCACTGTTTTCTTTGAAATTCTTTTTCCAGGACAATGTTCACCTGTTATACCAGAGAGCTGTTGCCTATTTGAATGTTGACTCCCCAATAAGAGGTATCAATGATAATTTGATCATAACTACGAGATTTCCAATCATTTCTTTACATTCTAAGTGATATTGAACTGTCCTTCAGTTTTGGCATCTACCAATCCCAAACTCCACAATACAATAGCAAAGAAAAGTATTCTTATATAACAGAAATTCAAACTTTGATCATCTCTTAATTTGGGATTAGTGTTAGTCAGCTTTTGAACAACCCAACGCAGGTGAGTCCGAATTATGTATTTCTTACTACCAAAACTTGCAGACCTCCATATTATTGCGCTTGACTTGTCCATGACAATTGTGTTTTTTTCATTTTCAGGAAATTACAGTCTCTTTGTTAGGGCCAGTCCACTTCTGCATCAGGCTTTGTTTAATGCTACAAAACAGGTACATGTAAATGTGAACACGAGAATGATGTAACATTTTATATCTGCAGTGCGTGACACTTAAATTATCCAGCCATGTTGGTTTGCAATTCATTCAGAGAGCTTTGCGTCTTAACCATTCTATACATACTGCATTCTCTACGCTAAATGTTATTTACAATAGGATTTTGGAAGTTTTGTTTATCTTTGTGTCAAAGGACCGTGCAACAAACACATTTTGATTCCCAGTAAGGTAGCCAAAGCCGAACATCAGTGCAAGAGGTTCACAGATGTATTCAAGATTAGCAGTCAATAGACATCATTTTCTGAAAAGAATACTTTCAAAACAATAGAAGAGTTCACGCTCTAAGGGGCATTATGGGTAATCAGGGCAAAGTTACAATGAAGCAAAGCCGTAAAACAAATGTTTATCTTTATATTTCCGTTCTGATTTCACATTTGGAGACGAAACATGTACTGTAGACGAAGAAACCCCTTTTCTAGGTTTACCGGTGTTTTTGAGCTGATTGAGTGATTGTTGTGGTCGTAGGAATTTTGTTACGGTTAAAACCGAATGTATTGATTAAGTCTTAGCCGCTCAAGCCACAAAAATTTCATCTCCATTACTCTGATAAGTAGGCTAATGCCTAGCTCAATCGACTCAAAAACGCTAGTAAATGTAGAAAAGGGGTTTCTATATTTACAGTATATGTTTCGTCTCCAAATGTGAAATCAGAATGGAAATATAAAGATAAACATTTGTTTTACGGCTTTGCTTCTTATTTGTCCAGATTACCCAAAATGCCCCTTAGAGCATGAACTCCTCCATTTCAGACTAAAAAGTGTCAGAAAATAAAACCTTAAGAACTTTTTAAGCGTCCAAAATCTTATGTGTCCGAAATGTTTACAGTACAGTATAAAACTTGCTCCGAAAACGCTAGTTTCCCTTCATGGAGCGACCTCTAGTTGAGACACTCAAGCTTGAGATTCATAACGCCTTGATGGAATCTTTCCTATTTCCCCCGTCAATCTGTCTGTAAAACCTTTAGGGTGCGGTGCAACTGTTGTTTTCACAGAAGCTGTTTCCGTCTAAAATGTGTTTTGTAGGCGTTAAAAAGTGTCCGAAATTTTTGCCCGAGATTCGTCCGCAGTCAGATAAAAAGTGTCTGGAAAGTTGACGTCTGAAATAAAACATCGAAATTTTAACGTCCGAAATTCTTCCAAGCAATGTAGCATTATATCTTTAGCAATTCAAAGGGATGTGCATCTTTCTGATAGATTTCTTCTCTTCCAGGTGAAAAATCCCCTCAACAGGAACCAATCAGTTTATGACAACTGGCTGGATAAATTTCCAGCTTCTGATGGAAGAACTCCAAAGTGAGTAGTCTAACATTAGGCTGATTTAGCAACAGGACGGGAACGTCAGATGACGACTGCAGGGCGCGCGCAATAACCTGGATTCTGTTCTAATTTGACCATATTTGGGTATTTGTACTGCGCGCGCTGTCGTCAAGTGACGTTTCCATTCTCTTGCTAAATCAGCCTCATATTACAGTGGAACCCCGCCTTACGGACATCCCATCAATATGGCCACCTCGTTATTATGGCCACTCTATTCAAGCCCGGAGAAAAGCTCTCAGTCACTCATTTTCTTTATTGAATAAAGAAACCCTTTAATGTGGGTACCCTGTTAATACGGCCAGATTTCTGTGACCTGTTGGTGACCTGATTAACAGGGTGCAAGTCTTTTTTTTCAAACACTCCCCTGTTTGATTGGTCTCATCATCTTCCTTACTATGGTCTTTGTTCTATTATTTTCTCTAGGGTTCCTCCTCTAGGATCAGGAAGTGACTATTCTCCATTTTGTCAGAGATCTGGAGTGCCATCAGCTGATATTAGATATGTTTTTGACATGGTAAGTTGTTGGCCTGTCACTGTTAAAAGTGCAAATTAGAGCTATACCTAAATATAAGCACCTTCCTTCTTTCCATCCCTTCAAATGAAAGCTATTTCAGAGTGTCAGTTTCAGGTGGTGCTGTTAATTGCGTTGTACAAGGTGATTCTAACTTTTAAGTCTGCGGATAAAACCCTAGTGTGTGACCATTCAAATGAAAGCTATTGAGCAGTTCTTTCATGTGGTACTGTTTATTAGAGTTAATGGTTTGAACCTAGAAGTATCAGAAGATAGTCGTCTGTGATCGTCCGGGTGAGGGTACATGTAGTTCTGAAAACAACTGTAGTTGGTGACTGACGTTTCGACAACCTGAGCTGAAGTCCTCTAGAACCGACCAATGACCGCCGACAAACTTTGCACGAGTCTTCCAGCTAATACCATCATGGCTAAACTGACCAGTGACTTTCAACGGACCAGACTTACAACATCATCGACTGACTAACACTATTCACTTGACTCTGAAGATCACTTCCGCTCAGGTTGTCGAAACGTCAGTCACCAACAACAGTTCTTTTCAGAACTATCCTCACCCGGACGATCACTCAAGACGATCTACTGTCTATTATGCTGTACATGGCGTTCTGACTCGTTGAATGAAACCAAAGTGTGTAGCCATTCAAATGGGAGCTATTAAAAGAGTCTGAAAGGGTAGTAATATTATCCATTCTGAATGCTAAACCATGTTCGTCTTTTTCAGTACCGGTTTCATAACATCTCTTCATACCCTACCTACCACAGTATTCATGATACATTCGCTTATGTCAAGGAGTTTGTGGATCCTCAATTCACCACCCACTTGGCCATAGCACAGGTGTGGGCGAGCACTGCATTCCTATTAGCTGAGACCGCTGTGCTGCCGGTCAACTGTTCGGATTATGCTGCGGCGCTAAATAAGGGTGCTCTGGACATTCAGAAGAAATATGGAAGTACCCTGGAACAAAGGGGGATCTCTCTTGGTAAGTGAACTATAGAACTATAGAACGTCGCTCCAGAAAGTGATTTCATTGGTAAGTGAGCTGCAAAAATTCGAAGAAAACGAGGAATCATTGGAACTGAGTAGCAACAGTTATCGAAAGGAACTTAACAAAGCTGCATGCGTTTCTTTGGGAAAATCCATGGTTGGATTCTAAAATCGAAAAACGGATTTTGCGTTTCTTTTATACTCAATAGATTATTCCAGGACCACTCGGATCTTGGTGCATCAGAGGAACCGAAGAATCCTCTCTGGGCAAGGATTCTTCGGTTTCTCTGATGCACCATGATCTGAGTGATCTTGCAAGAAAAGAAAAAGAAAACGAGAAAAGTAGGTACATGTGCCACATCTAAAAATAACTTAAAGGGACTACCTTGGACTTCCAAAAGCCCATATGGGGAATTAACTCTCTTACTCTTTATCCGGTCTTGGTTTTAAGCGAATTCTCTAGAAAGAGTAGCAGATCTTTTATTTATAATAAAATTTGCTTTCAGAATACTTAAACCAGGCTGTTAAAAAGTTTGAAGAAGGAGCAGAAAATATGCAGTCGCTTATTGAGAATGTGGACACGTCTGAGTAAGTATGCAGCAAGGAAAAAAATTAAACCTTGTGTTCATTTTTAAGGCGTATTTTTCTCTTCGTTCCTAGTCCTTGGTCGTTATCCTTTATCAATGACCGTTTGACGGGACTGGAAAAGACTTTCCTCAACCCTGAGGGACTGCCGGGAAGGCCTCTATACTGGTACGTGGTAACTATGCCGTTAGATTGACAGTTGCTAAGGTAGAAAGTGTGGTCTTCAAGGAAATACTTCCCAGAACCAGCACAAGTGCATAAATTGCTCACCACGCAAATTGACTTAGAACTTGATGAATTTTCCCAGTGTTTGCATCCTCTCTTAATGAAAACCCTGCTTTGTTGCTTTTCCAGGCATTCAGTTTTCGCTCCAAGCCTCCACAACTCCTATGCCAGTGCCACATTTCCAGGCCTCCACGATGCTTTAATAGACGCGGCCAGCAATGGCTCCCAGAACAATACCTGGACGCTAGTTAAGGAGGAGTTGTCAAATACCATTGTCGCTATCGAATGGGCCGCGCAATTTTTGAACACTGAAGTTTAGGCAGCCAGCGTGATTATCGCGTGACGGTTATAATCGTTATCGTATAGTTACAGTTTAAAAAAATATGTAATTTAAGACGTTTCTAAAGAAGATGCACGTAATTGTGTTAAAATTATATATTGTTAATTTCAGATGTTGGCCCCGCATACGTTCTGCATAGGAAAAATATATCATGTCATCTGGTTATTTAATTGTTACGGTTTGTAAGTAGAAATTGCAATTCTGCTTCAGGGTTTTTTCATTGTTCAAGTCGATGTGACTGTCTTTGGAAGTTCTAAAGTTCTTTGCTTATTTCAAAGAGATACGCATTATTCAAAAAAAGAAAACTGTTTTGTGTGCCCGTTTTTATATATATATATATGTATATATATATATATATATATATATATATATATTTTTTCTTTTTTTNTATATATATATATATATATATATATATATATATATTTTCTTTTTTTTTCGGCAGAGTTTCATGATTTCAACCAGGAAATTTTTGAAGAATTTTTTAGTGTTTTTTAAAGCCTCACATTGTTCAATTGATATTTAGTGCTTTTGGATTTGTTGGGAGAACATCACTGTTGGTAGATTGCCATAATGTTCTAATTTAATTGAAAAATCACGGTTAAGTTATTTTTTGAAATACGTTGAGTTTGCAAAACAGAATTTTCAATTAAGAATTTGTAAGTTAACAGCGCATGAAGATTTAAATGGGCAGCTGCGACTTTTTTTAAAGACAAAATTGATCAGTAAAGGGAGGTAATTTTCTTTTTCAGCAGCGCCCAATAGCCAACTTTTGGTTGTACATGTTTTGATTGGTTTTCCATGACTCTAAGCCAATAGGCCTTTTACAGCAGTTGGTCACGTGAAGTGCTTTTCAAGAACACGCTGATTTAGTCATCATTGGTAATGTATGGGACTAATGTTATCAGAAATGGAATAAGCGTGGCATGGATCTATAAATTAGTGCTCTGGCTATTTAAAACATGCTCTTTCCAGTTCTGAAATTCATGTTGTTGTAGCCAAAAGGTTCGAAATTATCGCTCAAGTGACCAACTGTTGCAAAGGGCCTATTACAGAATAAACGACGGCGCGTGCAATCTTATGTCTCCGCCTTCTAAACGACCTTGGTTTCCAATTGGCCAGGCCAAAGGAAGACCCTCACAAAACATGTCATAAAACGTTACATGTTGATTAAAAAAGGTGGCCTCGATAGCTTTTGTTGAAGTTATCTCAAGTATTGGGTGAACAGTTTCAGTTATTATTGCGTTTTAATATTTGAATTTAATTTATTACAGAGATTTACAATGGATGATTCAACAGCAAGTCTGTGTATATAGTAGTGAATCGTGTAACAAGACAGTTATTGAGTTCAGTAAAATATATTATATTATATTATAATTTCTATATGAAAGAAGAATTTATCCGAATTCAAGGCTTTATATGTTATTTTGCTGAAGAGTATCCATTGAATAAAATTGTAAGATATTACAGTGAGAGTCCAACCGTGAAGTGAACACGGAGGATGGGGCTCCCATATGAAAAGATCAGGGATGTTCGTTTCGCTTAGGGGTGTAAATCAAGGATTTTAGTCTCACTTAGCGTGTTCATGACGAAACGCCACATTTTAGCTTACAAGGTATCTTTTGCTCTTGAAGAAATAATAAACAACCCGCTGTCTGTCCGCGTTTAAGTGGTATCTTTTAGGGGTCAAATAAAGCTCGAGTCACGCCCATATTGATCTCTTTTAGGGGTTTAATTCAAATTTTCCGACGAGCATGCCCGATGTTTTCACATTGGGTCCCCTCCCCCGAGCTCGTGAATTACAACTTAAGCCAAATTGGACTCCAGTCAGTCCTATTACTACAATTATAAATACTTCTAGAGGAGCTGAATAAATCGAAACGAAATGAAGAGAAATCACTTTTATTATCCAACTCCACTCAATAAAAGTAGAAATTATGAGAGAAACCAGTTCAAGTGTACTATGGGAACTGATTTAACAGGCTCGTTCTCCTCCTAGTTCTCTTTGGCGCTAGCAACGTAAAACCAAGCTCAGAGTTTGGTTTGGACATCAAATCACTTTGTGAAACATTTTTATAGTGTACTAGTGTACTATTGTAATAGTATACCCTATTACGTACGGTAACAATGATCGTATTTCACCAAGTTATGGGGGAAAATTTCGGCGATACGGTAAGAGTCAGAGTGCAATTTATAAGCTATCGAGCGGGCAGGCGGGTAGAATAAAAAATTCCTCGGGTATATGTACTATCCTCAAACGGAGGAAGAGATTTAATGACATTCTTTTGACAGTACCGGTTCCTCGCCACTTGGTATATTCTCTTCAATCGACCATGTCAAATTATTCATGTGGTTTGTTGACTTATATGTACTATCGACATTTTATGATAACTGCAGGAATTCTCGCGCGCTCATTGGCTAATTTTCATTGCCAATAAGCGAACAGACACATGAATTTATAATTTATGCGGTGCGTCAACGAGCGAGAGTGGACGATTTGATGAAAAAAACAAATTGACGTCAGTTTTTCATGCGTCTGTCCTGTTATTGACTCGCCTCGTGGATCCACAGCTACTTTGACAATGTTATGACGAAATTCATGATCAATAACAGGACAGGTGCATGAAAACTGACGTCAATTTGTTAAATTTAAACAGTGCGAATAGTTTTCGCGATCCGTTTCCACCGACGTACGATGCAATTACGGTGTTTGCCAGCCTAGTCACTGGAGGTTCTTCTGGGGCCTATCAGACTTCAGGCGGACAGCGAGTCAAAATAGAACTAAATCCAAAGTACTAAGTCTTTCAATAAATAACACGCAAACTGCGGTGATAGACATCTAAATATGACAATAAAACGCATCGTTCGAAAACAAAAATTGCACCTTTTTACTTGACGTTTCGTGACGTTTCATTCAAAAATACGTCAAGCCAAAAAAATATTTTTTGTTTTCCAACAATGCTTTCTGTTGTCATGTTTATCACCACACGCGCAGGTTGCGTGTCATTTCTTGTTAAGCTACAATCGCCAAAGAAAAAGAGTATTTACTATACACGGCTCCAATGTTCAAGGGGAAAGAAGTGGGCTTGGCTCTTAATTACGGTAAGCAGGGGCGTAGGTAGCGACCGCTGTCCGTCCAAATCCGAAAACCGAATCTCTTTCTGTTATTAATTTTTATAAGTCTAAACTTGTTTTACTTTCAAAGTTTTTTCAGCATATCTCACGGTTAGTGCAGAAATCATCATAATCTAAAAATTTGCTTTTTTTTTGTAAATTGGCTCCAGACCTATAGCAATGTGAAACTAGAAAAAAAAAAAAGCACGATAACATGATTTTGGGTGATTTTCGTTTAAAAGAAACACCACATTCTGAAGCTGCTTTTTAATTGCCATTGTCAGAATTTTCACTTGTCAGAATTGTCATTTGTTTAGGCACAATGGCAGCCACATTTTACAACCAAACTACTTTATTTTACGACCAAACAAACAGTCTCTCCTTTGCTTTTATTCCACGTAATGTTATTCCGACGACAAAAAGGGAAGACAACTTGCAATCGAGCTAGTGATAGAAACTCGATGGTCAACAGTCTAAGGTCAAAGTTCACGCGATATTATCCCAGCCGCGTGATACTTAAGAAATAGTCTTTTGCTTTGATGTTATCTTTAGCTTTTCCCCGGGAGCTTTTCATAGTCTGCTTGGGAGCCGTTACGACCCAAATAACGGCTGCTAAATTAAAGAGACTGGGTAGAAGCTAAAGGCTCTATAACTGGTCCCTTGGAATTAGAGTTTTAGCGGGACTCAGTGCAAGGGTGTAACTTCCTTGACAAAACCAGAAAAACCGTAAAATGCACTGGACAGAAAAATCCGAAAAACCCCCATCATGGTTCAAAAACCGAAAACCAAAGACTGAATTGGAGAAAACTCGCAAACCGCACAAGTCAACCGAAAAACCGCAGTCATTAAGTGCGAAAACCGAAAAACCGAACCAAAAATTAGCCAAATCCGCAAAACCGAAAATCCCATGGTTTTAGATCGAGTAATATTACTAGAAGTATGTAATCATAATTTTAGCTTTTTTTAAATCGATTTTAAATTGACCCATTTGTATTTTAGCTATCCACGGTGAAGTGGTGGAAAAGAAACAAATTCGCCCCCAAGGCCCCAAAACTCTCTCTTTGACTTCCACTGTTCCCCGAATATTGTTTTTAAGTATAAGTGAAAAATAAAAGGGATTGAATTTGAATATATAGCAGCATTTTCTTCCCCTCCTCGTATATCACACCGCCGTTGCAAGACACCCCCTCCCCGGCTCCGGGAGCTTTCTGTTGTCACAGAAATAGGTGCAAAACGTGTCCTTTCACTACAGAGGGAACAACGTCTTATACTATTTTCTCTACCAACGAACAAAGACGAATATGACATCACATCTCCTGCTCATCTTCTAATCCCATTTATATGACACAGTGCAACAAATGCAACGTTCAATACATAGGAGGCGAGACTAAACGCCATCTCAGCACAGACGCGCAATCTAAAAAGCCATCACACAACGACACATTGATCAACCCACCGCCGTTTCAGATCACTTTACCCTTCCTATGGACAACATAGAACTCGTTCCTCTCGAACTCATCAGCTCAAATAGAGACGCTATTCGCAAGGCAAGAGAAGCATTTTTGGTCTCCAAGGGTGAGACCATTGAACCTTGTGGGTTAAACAGGCGTGACGAAATTTAATCTATTTATTTATATATATATATATCCGCTTTAGTACACATTTCCTTTTTCTCTATTTTTGTTAACCAGTCATGCCACATAATTTTGTGAACGTTTTATCCTCCAACCCCTTCCGCTAAATCATAATCTTTCAAGGTTACAGCAGTTACACGTGCCCATTTTATCCGGCATCTGGTTTAAAAAAAAGCAAAATAAATAACTTATGAGTGCGATTAATTTTCGGAAATTCGAGAGCATTCCGGAACTTTACGATTATTGACGAAGATTGCCCGATGACACTATCAGAAACTGCAAGGCGTTCCAACCGCGCGGTTTTGCCGCAAGGGAAATCTGGAACGAGATTGCATCTGATTTCTGATAATCGAGCTTTCACAAAATTCACAGTGTATTTTCCCACGATAACTATGGATTCAATCTCCTCTTGTGGCGACAAGAGTTACTTAGAAACAATGGAACGGACTCTTTTTGATGGCATACTAGATACACAGTTGTGTGACGTTGTACCTCTAGACACATCTTCGCATGTTTTTTAAGACGGCGCGCTCTGAACTTCGGCTTCTGCTTGATTGCGGGTTTCCACACAAGGTAGGCTCCAAATTTCGGTTTGTATATTTTGTTTTGCCTTTGTCAACAAGCGATCTTTAAAATGTCCCGCTGGAAACCTCTTCACTGTATCTATTATCTTGGAAAGAATGAGAAAGGAATATCAATTACAGTGTAACTAAATTATGATTTTGTTCATGCCAACAGGGTTATACCGTATTTGTAGCAAGGTTTGAAGACAATTCTGTCGTAGGAGATTCATATGATGGTTCTTTGGTGAAGACTGCCGTGTGCAGTGGAGTGTACAGACTTTGGAAATTTTCCTGCGAGTGAAAAGAGGGGACTTTGAAATGGGTAAGTTATTTACATGTTTTCTAGCCGATAAACCCTGTTGTTTTTTTTACAGAAGACTGTCCAGATACCAATTACTCGCCAGAAGTCTCGAATAAACGTCGCGGTCAGCTTCTATAATGCGTTGTTTAGCTTCGCTAGGGAACTAAACTTGTAATCTTCTGAATGGAAATATTTCCGTTTTTGCTCGCCTGCAAAGAAGATTGTGGACATTGCTTTCTGTTTTGATATATGTAGCGATGAAATTGTGCACAGACATCAGTGTTTGTGTATTCTGTGTAAATTTCCGTTTCGTTGTAACCGGACCATGTACGTGTTTTTCGCTCGTTGTGCATGTGGAAGACAAGACGATTGCGTTCCTTGTCTCGCGTGCAGTCTGGTTTTACTGGAGAGTGTTCTTGCTCGGTGATCGTGTGACAGACTCCCTAGTCGCACTCTCCATTCTCAGACTCACTAGTTATTTATCATGTTTAATTTGGGCACGCTATGCTCACAGATTTTTATACGCGAAATAGGACATTTGATCGGAGATTCTCCGACACGTCTTCACAGATTGATTTCCTTCTGTTGTTCTGATGCAGTACATACACAACGAAAATGTTTTTGACGGAGACTCTGGAAATTTAAGCTCATCGGTAGACGCTAAATAAATTGGCAAGGAAACAGTTTCCGACAAATGTGCAATGCTTTTGTCAGTATACGAGCGATCTACACCAAATGTGAAATGAATGAACGACCCGCAGAGTAGGCTTGCTTGTATAAAATGAGACACCGTTTTCGCACTCCGTTCTTGCAGTGAAGTGAGGACTTTTTAAAACATACAAATGTAAAATTTTCGACTTTCTCAGGGAACTTGTCGAAGATTAATCAAAGAAACCGTTTGCTAGCCGATAGCAGTTTTAATATATTTTTATAATATTTTTGTGGTGCGTGTTGTCGCGTGTGGAACCTTCGATCGAACAAAAAAAAACTTTGCCTTAGGAATAATAGTAATATGAGTAACTTGTGTCCTATAAACTTGAGTGTTCTGTTTTCTAAAATGCACCTAAACCTTTGTGTCAACTGTCTAAACACAAGAAGGGGATAACCACTCACTGGCTAGATTTGTTCCATTAAAGAAATTATTATCCGGCGAGAAATTTTGCTTCCATATTAGGGAAAAACGAACCTCATAGGTGAAATTATAAATAAAAATTGTCGTTCGCTAAGAAATTATAATAATATGTCATTACCATTATTCTGGTGTGTTTATGTGGGAGAGAATTTTGCCTGTAAATTAACGTCGAAATTCCTTTCAAAAAAGATCAACAACCCCACGCTAAGCGATCTTTGAGCATTTTGTTACTTTTTGCCAACCAACTGTGTTAATGGGTCTTTGGCTTAGAATGAAAACGAATGGTCATAAAAACAGCTGTACGCAAGACGTGATCGTATGCTGTAGTAACTTCTAGAATGCACCGACAGACCGAATGAAATTAGCTCTTAGAGACCTCAGCACGGCATATCTTGTTTCATTTATTAAAACTCACTCTTTCGGTTTTCAATTCCGCCAGGAGCTTATCTGACTCGCAAAATCCTTTTTATCGTATTAAATACTTCTTTCCTAAACGGCAGCTTTATCTCAGTTAAAATTAATATTCACTCAAAGGAATTAAAAATAACTTATATTATCTGCCTAGACTTGGAGGTTTTTCAGGTTGATAATCTAGTGAACAATGGGGTGACTAATTATTCTGTCTGGCCTCTATCTTTTTCGTTTTGCACACTTATTATGGTAAAAATCAGAATTGATATAAATTTTCTTGACAATCAGTAAAATGCAAGTTACCTTCAGTTGACACTCTGTCACCAAGAAGTCAAATATACAAGAATGGTAAAGTTTTAAATTAAAGTAGCACTTTTTATTTCTTAAGTGGGGATATCAAACTGTCATGCAATAAATACATGTGCCAATGAAATTTGCCAAAATGCCCTCATTACAAATAATCGGTCACCAAAATGGTCAACTACCAAAAAATAGTGGCACAGTTTATAATTTTAGAGAATTTTACCATGAAAATGATTGATTCTGGAATTTTAATTATGTCATTTTGTACATCTTGCAACATGTTGAGTGTGAAAATTAGGACTACTTGGTTGAATTGGTTTTGAAGAGCAAGAAAATAACTGATCATTAGATGTGAATCTCAGTTTTTATATTATTTCCCCCCAAGGTTCTCATTAGGTGTCTAGAAGCGTGTGAAAATTCTGATCGAGTAAACAATGTATCTCTTAGAACCTTTTTAAAATATTTCCCCTTGAGAGCTGTCAGAGATGTGCCCCTGTATGGATACCTGGGGAAATCAATTTTGTCATGGTTTCTTCTTATTATCAAATCCTCACTATAAATTCAAGAATAATTTTGCATCACAGCATTATTGATGTTTAAAAAACATTAATTTTTTAGTTTTAATTATTTAAACATGATCCGTGATTTTATGAGGGTGACATTAATTATATACTAAACTCATTGTCGATGAAAAAGGCATTCAAAAATGTTTCAGATTTTCATGTCTGGACATGATAATTTGTTAATCAACACTTTTATTTCTGAGATCATTGTTTTATCAATGGTGGTCACTGCAACTTTGATTTCGTCAGAAATACGTGTACCTAAACTGACCATCGATGAAGTTTTACTGAACTTTGTGTAGTGTCTTCATTACACTTGGTTACTCTACATGTATTTGAATTTCTTTTGCAAGTGCACTCTACTGTAAGCAATATACAATTTTTCCTTTATATCAGTTCTGATAATACTTGTAAGGTGGTACATTGCCTCTTATCACGTGTCTCCAAGTTGATCATTTTGTTTATTCTCATTGCCTGTGCTTGACAAAGTACTGATATTGTAAGGAAAAAGTATGTGTTCCTCACTCCTGGGAATTAAAAAAATCGGTTTTTGGGAGTGCTAATCTAGAGTGTTTGGGAACGGTCTTGAGTTGTGAAGATTGTAGAGACAAAAGAAAGAGCTTTGTGGCAGCCAAAACAAATTGAAATTAGGGGAAGAAAAGTGAAGAAACTTCAACTTGTCTGCACAGGCTACTGTAGTAACTTTGCTGATGGCAGTTATTGATATAGCTACCAATAAACTAAGCAACCTAGTTAACAACCTCAGCCAGCCTCTCCAGCTTTTACACTTTCAAAATCATTCAAGTTTCTATTTTATACTACAATTTCAGCCTGTGATAAGCTCTTTCACAGCCAACAAAACCACATGTAGCTGGGAGCCCCCTGTTAGGTATATCCCTGTGATCGGGAGGTATTGTGGCTGAGTGTTTAGGGCACTGGACTTGACATCTGGAGGTCATGGTTCAAAGTCCTGCTCTGACCACTCAACTGAAGTTTAATACTAATACTTTGAGAAATGGTTGGCCTTTGGCCTCATTAACTATCACCTCATGGAAATCTCAAGCTCATAATTAAATTAATTGTTAATTAATTATTGTTATATACAGATGATGATCCAGAGAGTAGGTATCTTAGCCTAGGAAGTGACTCATCCAGACCTCAGACACACAAAGGACAGAATGCAAACAACTTTGTGATGCCAGAGCACAAGGTAAGCTTTGATGTCAACAAAGAAATTCTCCATAACTGAATGTCTTATTTTACTGCTTTGATTAGCTGGGAGAAGTTTGATTTGTGATCAAGAAATAATTTGTGATTTAAACCTCAATTCTTAAATTGGAGATAAAATGTGTTAAAGAATAATTTTATAGTTCACTCAAGAAGTTAGATGCCACAAACTGTTTTTTTTGGCCAAACTGTGTGACTCTTGCAAAGTTTGAGTGATAATATCAAGTATTGATCAAAGTTCAATGGCAGTCTGTTGCAAAAATAACAAGAGGTCTTACTTGGAACAATAACTTGTTCCATTGAAACGCACTACTCTTGCCAAAATATTTATTTAGTAACCAATCTCCAGTTGAACAATGTTTGGATAAAAAGCAGCTAAATGGCAGGATTTTAAAATTCTTTTGTGTGTAGTTGAGTGGATAATTGATCTGTTCACCCAGTCCTTTACAAAACACATCACTTTTCATTCCTTTTGAATTTTCATTTAAGTACAGTAATTCAGGTTTGGTAAGTTAGTTTTTGAGCAATCACTACCTACAATGTATTATATGCAACTGACTTCAAGATTACACTCAGAGTTAAATAGAGAGGTTGAACTTGTACATGTACAGTGTATACTAGGTTTGTATACTTAGTCTAGAAATATAAACTTCAAGATTATGTTCAAGATGGCTCTTGACATGCTTTAACACTCCACCAGTTGACAAGTTGGAAAGTTTTATTGAATCACGACCTTTTCAACCTTAATAGTATGTGCCAAATAAGAGAGCGTTTAACTTCCGGTCTAGGTCTGCTTCTCAAAAAGGGCCATGCTTGAGCATTGTAATCTATTATTTGTACTCACCTTGGGAAAAAGACTGAGACTTGCTTGAGCAAGTGAGCAAGTGCTAATCTCTATGCCTGTTTATTGTCAAAGCTTGCTTGGTTCATCATACAATGTAGTGTTACACAGTAGGTTTAATCTGTTGTGCATTGAACGTTTTCTGGTAGCAATGTACAGGTATCGCTATAAATTTGAATTTGGAAATAACAATTGTGACTTCCAAGTCTGTAAGTTTCTTTGGATTTTGATCTGTTTTTTAAGCAAGGTACACAATGAAGTGCAAAGGTCATTACTCAGACAAACTTCTAGTGGAGAGTTTAGTGCAATGTTATTAACATTGCACTAAACAGTTAGAGTATTTTGTACTTGCCTTTTGGTCAGGGAAAACAATGATAGTAAACCTGAATTTGTCCAAGGTGATGAATACTGTGGTTTGGAAAGACCTATGTACACGTACACTCTACATAGCAGTCAGATATGAATGAAGTAGGTGATTTTGAGTGCTTTGATACGCTTTTTTTTACAGTCAAATACAGTGCGCATCAAGTTTGAGTTTAGAGGAGAGAGAAGGTAAGGATTGTATCAACGACAAGATTGATATTATGTTCTCTGTGTTATTTTCAAGTTTGTAGCAGCTTAGAACACTGTAGTCTGGGGTACCTTGTTTATGAACAAGGTTCATGTTTGTCTGGCTTACAGCAGGCTTCAATAGTAAATTATTTAACTGTAATTTCCTTAGAATTATCCCGATCTCCAGACCTGTCATTTTGTCTGAGCTGCTATTGAAAGTGAAGACGGCATATGGACAGGAACTCTCTATGAACTATGTCAGCAATGAGGTAAATTTAACTTCATGTACTTTGTTCTTTGAGAATCATCGAAGTACAACCGGTTTGGTTAAGTTGGATGATTGTCTCAGTAGAATGCCAACTACAGTTGAACCGCACTATTTTGAACTCTCAAGGGAAGCGAAAAATAGTTCAAAATAGCCAATGGTAAATGACTGAAGGGTGAATTCAAGGGAAATAGTTTGGAGTTTGAAATAACAGGGAATTCGAAATAACCTACAGTAATTCAAATTCGTGGGGTCCAACTGTATGTATTAATTTTTGTTGAAGCAAGTTATGTCAGGCGAATATTGTATTGAGATCATTAATTTTTGTGTGGTTGAAACTTTTGTGTCATTTTGTCAGGGAAAAATCATTTTGGCTTATTTGGTTGAAAGGAATTTAGTTACTGTTAATCAACTGAGAGTGATTTCAAAATGTGTTCTTCTGGGAGTTGTAGAACAAAACATGTATCAACCAAGTTGACCCAAAAAATAGGGGTCATGTTGCAGCTCTCATAAGGTCTCGCATGAATGGCTTGAACCCATTGAGAGGACAATAGAACAACAGAAACAATGTTCTCTGGCCCCAAAACAATAACAGCTGCTGCAGTGATGACAAATAGAATTTCAAGCTTATGAGAGCTGCTACACTAGCAAAAAATAGTTGTGCTTCTTCTTCTTCTTCTTCTTTTTTTTTTTTTTTTTAATAGAGTACATGAGGAAACTTTTCAACCAAATCAACCTTGGTTTCAAATCCCAATAGAAAATGGCATATTAATTTGTGACAATGTATGACAATAATTTATAAGTGTACAATAGTTGTTTCTACTGTAGCAGTTTGAAGATTTTACAGTTTAATAATTATATAATATTATTTTGTGTAGAGGTCATTTTCTTGATATCATTTTCACCAATGGTAACATAACAGAAGATTCCAAAGGAGTAAATAGTATAACAAATATACCACACTCAGTACTCAACCCTGAGCTATTCACCAGAATTTTCATTGTGGACTTGAGTTGTACTCTACAGTGGGTTTACTGTGGGAATGCTGGACTTTGTTATAGGTCTATATCAAGCTTAATTACGAGCTTAATTAATTAACTCAAGGAAACTGTCCAACCAAATCAACCTTCGTGTCAAATCCCAATAGAAAATGGCATTTTAATTTGTGACAATGCTCTACAATAATTTATAAGTGTAGTATTGTTGTAGAGGGATGTACTGTATAGTTTGAAATAGCATGGATGTTTTGGGTATGTGACATACAGTATTGGGTACTGAAAAAAGTCACTGATTGTGATTGTTATCGCAAGCATGGTGAAACATATCTCTGTCATTGACAGGGAACAAAGCGCTGTCTAGTAATTGATCATACAAAATGCAATTACTTGTCTATCCATTTCTGTTTCAGATTGCAAATGCAATTCCTCTTTTGACTCAGTCGGATCTTGACAAAGCTATTGAAATCTTGGATAGAAGCCAGCACCTAAACAGTCTTAGGATACTGTTGTCGCTGCCCAATGGAGTCACTGACAGTACCACACAGCAAAAAACTGGCACAGTGAACTCCTTGATGATGCCTCCAAGTAACCCAAAGGTTGGCTCTCTCTTTGGAAATGGGAGCAAGCCATTTTATGTAAGAAGAAGGTTTTGTAATGTACAAAACTATGTATAGTAATACCATCACTGAATCACGTCTAGTTTTGTCTGTGGATAGATCAGAATGGAGGAGTGCATTCACGCTAGTTGACAGTGAAAACCACCTGTAAGAACCTAGTGGTTTACAAAACCATTTCAAAACCCAAAAATATAAGAACAAGTGGTTTCTTATAGGTGGGTTCACACTTAAATTATGAACTCTTGTTGTAGAGACAACACTACATATTATATAGATTCTGTCATCTGTTGTGTTAGGCTTATCATAATACATGCGTGAATAAATACTGTATATTGAGTGACCAAACTCCAATTTATTTATTTTTCTGGTAAGCAACAACTGTATCTCCTTCAGAGAAATTAAGACCCTAATAAGAATCAGCTTAGCCTAAATTGCCAGTATGGACCCCAAAATACAAGAAACTATTTTGCTAGACTTTTTTACTGTATCAGCATCCTGTTGCATTGTTGTCTAGAAGGGAGACATTGCTTTACAAATTAATTATACATTTCATGGAGGCATCATACATAAAATAAATAACTGTTGTGTGTGGTGGTCCCCCTCTGCCTGTTACAAACCCCATCATCACTTACCAGAAACTCATCTCATGGTGTAGCTGTTATACAGTTACATTGCAAGTTACTTCTTGAGTTTGGTCACTTGGTGCATTACAAAATGTCACTCAACTGAATTTTTTAACATGCTTACTGTTGTTGAATCTGCAGAAAAGAGGAAAGCCAACAAGATATGGCTTAGGAATAAGGTAGCATAATCTATTTTTACAGCATTGTATCAATTTACAGCTGCTCATGTGGATAGCACATTTTATCCTCTGGAGGTTAAGGTTCATTTTTTGTTGCCCAGGAACAGGGCTTAATAATTTTTATGACCAAGGTCAACTTAAAATAAAAATTTTGACTGAAGCTGCTTAGTTCTGTTTTTCTTCTTTTTTTGTCCCAACACAGAAAATTACAGGGTTAAACTAAGAGCAGGCTACCGGCTAATTTTACAGTCTGAAAGAGAGCTCAACATTGGCTTGAATTTCACTACAAACAGAGACCTAGGGTAATTTTGAAGGGGCACAGGCCAGAAAGGCTGGTTGAGCTATTTAGTTAGGCTGTTTATTTACAACTAGTTTTTTTCTATAGAGTTCTTGGCTACATCCCCATGGTATGCTAAGTACTTAGAAGACTAACTCTTGTATGATTCAATGAATTGCGATAAGTTCCTGATTAATAAGAAATGAAGGCATCTTTCCAGGTCACAGTCAACTCCTGACGAAATTGCTTATATGGCTGTGGATCCGCCTAACACGCCCAGCCTGTCAAGATATAACTACATCCAATACATGTCGTCAAGCAGCATTAACACTTCAGGACGGAATTCTCCGCCACCGGGATTTCACCATGAGCAGTTCTCAATGACTCCATTCCCAAGGTTTCATCGAGACGAGTTCCCTGCACAGCCTTTCCACATGGTCAGGGTAAGGTCTGATTGATGTGCAATCAAACTAGAGTTTCTCCTGACAGTAAGAATCCATTGCTAAGCAAACTGGTTCGCAAGGAGTGTTTAGAAAATCAGCTGGGGTCTATTGTCTTGTTTTGCATTTATTAACATTCTTCAAACTAACGTGGAAAAAATGTAACAAGTGATGAGGACGTAATTTCTTATTCATTTATCAATCTTAAGTCAAACATGCACCTGGTAAGAACAAAGATCAGGGTTCTCATTAATTTCGGGAATAGAGGGCTAGTTTCATGAAATAGATAGCTAACGCCAGTTTGAGTCCCAAAAGGGACAAGCCTCTAGGGAGGACTGGGGGCATGTTCTCCCAGACAACTTTGATATTTCCTAAAAAAAGTCAATTTTAAAAAGGTCAAACTGCTAAGAATATTAGGATTACCAAGTCATTTTTTCCAATTTTTATCCCATGTTGCTAGCGCAACTGAAAACATAAACCACACCCTGACCCTATGCCTCTTCTCTAGCTACAGCCTTGACAGTCCTGAGACAAGGACAGTCAAGGTTCTGTCACATTCCAAAAAACCTAATAGTATGTTTTCCCTCTTTACAACGTACACATGTATTATTTCACGAAAAATAGGCAGCTAAGAAATCAAAGTAGTCGGTTTCTCAGCTGGTGTCCGGCACTTAATGAGAACCCTGAAGATAGTGATCAGTAAGGACAGACTGTGTTATATTCTCCTTTCTAGCATGAAGGATTTAAGTTGGCTTCTAAGGAGAGTTTGGTTGTTAACATCAAGGGTAAATTAAGTTAGTAATTAAAGTTCTGTTCTTTCCTTTACAGGGTGAGGGAGAATTTATCCCAGAAAGCCACGATCATGTGGTATGTACACCAGGCTTTTAGCCAGATGGGAACTTGAAGTACACTATTTTTTTCATTGACAGAAGACTAATAATTGTGCCTTTCCTCCTTAATATTTATATTTCCTGGTTAAACTGTCTGTGCCAAATTAAATGCACCTTGAGAGTCCTTGAAAGTCCTTGAATTCAAGGCCTTGGAAGTCTGCGAAAAGTGCATTATGCCCTTGAAAATTTGAAAACAAAAGGAGCAAACTGCCAAAGAACTGGTCAAAAAAATATTCTCACCTGTGGAAGAACTAAAAAGGGCTTACTCTTGAACAAACCTGACAAGTGTCCTTTAAACTGGAGTATCCAGTGTTGCATTCTTTAGACTAATGATAAATTTTTTTGTTAGTTGGTGGAACTCTTTGACCACTGATATTTTTTTAGTGGATGGAGTCCTTTAAAAATTGAAATTGTGACATAGACTGCCTGTGATAAGTCCTTGAACTGTTAGTCCAAAAAAAAGAGATTATGAACCCCGTGAGGCAGTATGCCCATGCAAGTAAATAAACATCTCTATCGACACACTTGATTCTTCACTGCATTGAAATGTCTAAATCTCAACCTTGAAAAGCACACACATGTACATGCAGATGTATACTTCGGTGTTCAATTTTCTCATGTAAGCAATTTGACCAGTTAAGCAATTCAACTGTTCAATTACTCTGCCAATCCACAAAACTGAACAATTGACCCATGATGACATAATTCTGGTTGAAAAACTTAATACTTAATTTAGTATTCTTTTTTAGGTAGTTCTGTTTTAATTATACCTACATAGATGCTGCCTTGTTCTTACTAGATTTTCTCAGACAGTGTAATGTTTTTAACTTCACAGGTGGTTCCCAGATTGCAGAGACAAATAAATATGTGGTATGACCCACTGTCACACAGTCAGGTGATGCAAACCATAGCAGTAGTATAATGTATACGAGCTGCCAAATTTTACATACAATGACAAATGCTTCCTTTGTTTGCCATTAAATTATTGATTTCCTTTCATTTTTGGCAAGTTTTGCCATTCAACCCATTCTATATCCAGTTTTTAGCTTAGAGGTTTACAAGTGCCAGCAATATCACTCTTTACCAGAGTTGTTTTTGTTTCCTTTTCACAAATTATTTCTGTAAATTACATTCTCACACACCACTGGGAACCATGCCAAGTCGAACCACACAGCCTCACCTTTATTAACATAAGAACATAATTGTCTTACAATGACACAAAAAGTGGCTAGAGAATAATTTCACCTCAACTTAACACATTCTACAAGTACCTCACGGGTGGGTGGGTGGGTGGGTGGGTGGGGCATGTCAAGGAATGGCAGATAGCAATACAAAAACTGAAACCTTACACAAGCCACATGACCTGAAACCCCCTCGGACACCTGTACCCAAACTCCCAGCCGTGTGTGAGAAAAACGTTTTCCACTTCTTTCGTTCCTCAGCCAACGGAAAACCACACGTATTTACATACAGCCTTTTTTGCAATTGTTTGTAGAGAAGGGAACTATGAATAATTTATGCTTGTATCACAGATTAACATTTTCCTCATCTTAAAGTTGTTATTGACTTAAGTGTGGTATGATTGGTAGAAAGTTTTAAGTGGTCTTTGTGAAAGACTTAACATATCATTGCAATGTCGTGATTGTTGTCTTTTTTTTCAGGTAAGAGTTGTCTCCGGTCCAAGCTCTGAGGGCTCATGGAGAGGATCGTCATTCTCCGTGGACAGGTATGTGTCTGTAATTTGTAGAAAATGTGGAGGAGATATGAGGATTTACCTTCTCAAAACCATTAATAATTCATCAAGTTTATTAAACAAAGGAAATCATGATCTTGGCGGTGTTTGGATATCTGATCTTAAATAGTATAGATTTTCATGATTTTATTTCTCTGTTTTCTCCTTAGTGTTAGTTTCAATTGAGAAGATATATTACATTCGGTAGTGTTAGACTGCGTTACCAAACACCTCAAATTTTCTCTTGAAAAAATACTCCGCTACACATCATGTTTTCAACTCTCTTCTCAATGTTTGGAAGTGTGATCAAACACGGTCTTACGTGTTTGATATGTTACTTAAGTGTCAATTTAAAAGCAAACTTTGCTGTCTCTGTACGTCGTGCTCCTAGATAGGCCATTATTTTCCCAAAAATGTGAACAACAAGTAATTGCATGGGATTAGGCTTGCCAAATATATTTGGAAAAACTAATTCTTGTAAACATGTGATACATGTACATGTAAGTTAGCCTCCAATGGTTGGTCAAGTTTTGAGAATATGTTGAATGTGTGAAAATGATAGGATGACCTACATGTGTAGACACAGATTAAGTTTCAGGGATGAAACCACTGTAGACCAAGTGAAATAATTATTAATATATTTTTATGTTTCTTTCAGTGGTGGAGAGATGCAGTCATTTCATGACTCAACGAGATCTGCATCGAACAGTTCACTGGTGCTGGCTAGTGGGATGTTTTCCTCAGGTTGGTGCTGTTCAGCAGGAATACTGATAAGTTTTAATATTTTGCTAATGTATTTTACATCAGTGACCCAAATAATGCTAACCAACTACATGTATATTGATGTGTGTGCATTCCCTTTCTGTGCTGCTTCATCAATAATTTATATACCATACATGTACAGGTAGTTGTCAGTATGTACCGATTTATGAGGCACTGCATTTCAGTTCCTGGTTGTACATCAATTTCATGTTCAGAAAAGAAACAGATGCTTAGAAATCAAGGTAGCTGGGAGCATTTCTTTGGTCAATAGATGCATTTCTGGCAGATCACACAAGGTATTCCTGAGCCTTTTATATTGTTCTCTGGGCCTTGGATGTTTTCACAAATGACTCCAGATATCACGCATGAGTCAATAAGGTGTGAAAAGAAAAGGGTAAATTGTTATCAAAACACATTAAATTGCTCAGTCGTGTTTTATAAAGCTCATCAGATACTCAAGAAAACAAAGAAACAAAATGAAGTCTTTAATATCTGCTCGTCTGATAAAGAATTTCTCATGCTGTCAGACGATCAAGCAAGTGGAAGCTACTTTCCCTGTTGATGCAAAGTTGGATAATTTGAAAGTCAAACTTAAAATGGTAATGTTTTTTTTCTCCATCCACAGAAGAGGATTTATTAGATTCAAAAGCTCATACATATCCCAGAAGAAGAAGTCACACAATAGGAAGTTCAAATGTTGACTACAATGATGGTATGAAAATGAAATATGTAGTTACATGGTCAAGACACCATCACCTGTTTCAATTGTATTTTTTCCCATTGACTAAACCAGACTATTGGCTGGTTGAGGACAGAACCGCTAGATTAGAGTCTAGCCAGGGTTAATATGTTGTTGTTAATAATGGCACATGCAATAACAGGTATATTACCCTTACAGTGTGTCGTTCCACATGGGTGTGCAAAATGGGTCCAGGCAAACTATTAGAGTAAGATGAGATAGTGTTAGGGGTAACCTGTGATGGACTAGTATCCCTAAAGGGCTTCCAGGGGAGTGTCAATTTAACTCCAAGCCGTCTCACACTACTGAAACCAGAGTTAATTGCTGACCGTACTGACCCATCAGGCTGGGAGGAAGGCACTCTGTCTGCAGTTTTCAATTATCCTTTACAAAAATTCAGTATTGTGGCAGATGTTTCACTCAACTTTGGCTCATGAAGTTGCACACAGCAATGTGCAAAGAAAGATGTGTAAACCTGGGGCTGGTGGATTTTGTAGTCCGCCTAGTGGATTCTATCTGTTGCTTGCCTGACAGGCAAGTGAAAATTCTTGTATGGTGTAGAATTGATTTTCTTTGCACGCGGTGTGGATGAACATCTATAAAATGCTGCCAACAGCCACTACAGTGCTGAAATAACTTATTCCTGATCTCAAGCAATAAAATCAGTCTCTTTTTTTCTCCAGGAAACCAGATGTACAATGGTACTCAGAATTCACGGAAGCCTATTCCTTTGTCCATGAGAATAGACCAGCAGATTAGTCCTGCTAGCAGCAGTAGCAGCAGTAGTGGCTTGCTGGCGGACATTGATATGGGAACGAGAAGACCAAGACGAGAGTCTGAACTTGAGGTTGCTGTTCAGAAGCTTAAAGACATGTCAACAACAGGAACCAAAGGTGATAGTGAATATCTTCTCTTTGTGTATCAAATTTTCTAGTTAAACAGACTTCTGTGTACAGTATATAGACCAAGAGGAGTGAGGTCTATCTATTTTCACGTCCACCCCTCCCTCAGACAGTCAATAATCATTGTGTAGTCTCAGAAAATATCCATACCTTCCCCACGGAAGGGATTTTTTTCTAAGACCNCCACCACTCTGGAAATTCCAATTAAGCTTCATACATTTCTTTGATTTTTTTGGTCTTGTGGAACCCCCCAAGCCCCCAAGAAACTCCAGTTCCTTTTGCAGGGGGAGTACTGCACATTTTTTTCAAAATAGTTAGATAGCCTTGTTCATCTCTAAACCTAACTGTGTCCTTGTAATGTTCAATAGTACTTGAAGTACCCAGAAATTGGACAAAAGGGAAACTCCTTGGAGCAGGAGCTTTTGGCCAGGTAAATTATATAAATCATGAATTTTGAGCTTTTTTGCAATAATGTTCAAAATCTACAATAATGCCACTTTAAAAATCGTTGTCAGAAAACTACACTTTAAGAGAAAAGACCGTAGTTATATTTTGCTGTTTTTTTTTCTCTAGGTATACATGTGTCATGATCACGACACAGGGAGTGAGTTAGCAGTCAAGCAAGTTGAAGTTGGGCTTCTCAACTCAGCAACACAGAAGGTTTGTGGTCAAACTCTGTTTTCTCTTTATACCACCAATACATTTTCAACTAGGTTGGTGATGAGGATTTAGAAAGTCGTGGGTTTGGTGATGGAACTGTGATAAGCCATCAAAATCTCAGAACTTGATGGAATGAAATGTTGTTCCATATTGTAAGGAGAGTTCGTATATTACATGTAAACAGGACATAGAGCGTTTGAAAGGCCCTTCCTCCCCTAGTGTTTTCTGTGATAGCTGTTACAAGATTGAAAATTCTCTGTCAATCATTCACCCGCTTTATTTATACAGCTTGTTTGGCCGTGCATAACTTAAAATTTGTATGACACTTTTAGATGAGGAAAAAATACTCATCCACGCACATGCGATGAGGTCAACTTTTAAAACAGTGAAATTTTGTAACCTTGTTAATCAAAACTTAACTAAAAAGATGATTTCCGTGCAGGTTATTGATCTTCTCAACTAACACATTGAATGAAGAATTTCTGTGTTTGTAGGGGTTAACTTTGCATTTATTGTGTAGTGATATGTTTACTTGTTGTTTTGTAGGAAGTAAAAGCCCTTGAAGCAGAGATAGATCTTTTAAAGAATCTAAGACACGACAGAATAGTTCTTTACTATGGAACACAACAAACAGACCTTCACGTCTATATATTTATGGAATTCATGCCTGGGGTAAGATTTGTTTTGAAATTAATAGTTCTAAAGTGCTATTCAAATCTAAACCTCGTATAATGTGTTTCTAGCTTTCTGATTGGTTCACTGAATGTTGGTTACAAGCCATTATACCTGTGTTTGACCGTATATGAAAAATGAGTTCGGCAAGCGTTGCTTAGGCCCGTCCACATTACGCCGGAGAAATTTGAAAACGCAGCTTTATTTCTACTGTTGGCCTACAGTCCACACTAATCCGTCACGAAAACGGAGCTTTTTAAAAACGTTCTACAAAGAAATGCCTGTGTGATTTCCCTCACCGAGTTTTCTTCAAGCACAAATCCTAAATGACTGGTGATTGTTGCGTTTTTTAAGTTCTCCGTTGCAGTGTGGACGGCAAACATTTCATACGTTTTCCAAGTGAAAACGCCGTTTTCAAAATTCCTCCGGCGTAGTGTAAAGAAAAGTTCTGTCCGAAAAAATTGGTGAAAGCAGTAAATTGAGAAGCTTTCTGTCGCAAATACACAGGAAATAATAGGCAATGGCGAATGTCAATGATGCCATCCCGATACTACAAAATGTCACAATTTATAACTTGACTTTACGTAGAGTATGATACGAAACATTTAATCGAAAGGGCTAAGCTTGTAAAAGTAAGTCAACAAAAGCAACTGCATAAAGCACAATATCGTTCAGTTAGGGACAATGATTTTCAGTACCAAATTAAGCTTTACACTCCAGCAAAATTTGTTACCTGACAACTGATTCAGGGCAACACAATCTGTAGTCTTGATGATGACAAGTAAATTCTCGCTTCATTTGACTTGAACCAGCTCTTCCCGTAAACTTGGTTTTGTTTGTCATATTTTTCCAAAATGAAGACAAGTTTGGAGGTTTTAATGCGAAGAATACTTGTTGACAAGCTTTATTCAACTCAAAACGTGAACAACGCGTGGCAAATTTTCCCGCCTTTTTTTTGACTATCACTTCGTTTAAATCAAACTGAAATGTCTCCGTGATATACACATTCCATTCTCCGAGGTGATTATATAACAACTCGCCTTTGTTAGTTATCATATTCAACGTGGGCTTATGGTAAAATTATTAAATAACCCTAGAATGTATGAGTGTTTTCCCAAAGAATCAAATAATACTTCATGAGACCTAGCCTGAATCAGCAGTTTTCTTTCTTCATGCGCTCGCAACACACCTTCGGTTTGACTCGAAATATTTCATTATGATGACGTAACCCTACAGAGATCCGTTTGGCGCCTGTGATTGGTTGCTTTTTGAAAGGGACGTTGGAGGTTTGGTGACTGCGGTAGTTTCCAGTCCTTTTGGATGGGTCTATTAGCGTTTTGTTTGACAGTATTCGTTGCTGAATGTTCTTTCTGATAGAGACTAACTCATGCTTTCTGCAGGCATCAGTTCACGATCATATCAAACAACACGGAGCTCTCAATGAGAGTTTGACAAGAAAATACACCAGGCAAATTCTGGAAGGGGTGTCTTTCCTGCACGCAGCACTCATTGTGCACAGAGATATCAAAGGTAAACTCTCTGAAGCTAAATAGCAGGCAAGAATTTTGTTAAAGAATGTGGCTGCCCAAAATTCCTCTTTTCCTCCCCTCACTTATTGGAGCTAGTAAAGAGCTTTATTCAAACCGCCAGCTCTCCCCCCCCTCCCCCTCCCCCCTCGCCCACTTTTAAGAAAGCATAAGTCCATCGTAACTTTGTTGCCCCAACCCCACCCTCTTTGAGCAAATCTTGATCGGCCACGAAACATTTCTATACGAACTGATATCGTTCTGTAATTGTTGCAATACATGCGTTTTCATGAAACTATATTCTACATGTAGTTGTGTGTAGCATACAATGATACCTGCGTGCATGTAAGAAAATGTGTTACTTAGTTATTCTGTAACACTGATTGTTTTACACATTTGATTTCTTATCAAGGTGCAAACATCCTTAGAGACCTTCGAGGAAATGTGAAACTAGCAGACTTTGGAGCCTCCAAAAGATTACAGGTAATTAACAGCATTACGTATCAGAGTAAGAGCTAGAGTAATGATTTTCGTGCGGTTTCAACCTAAAATGGTTCCAGTGTGGCCATTCAAATGAAAGCTATTGAGCAGTACTTTCATGTGGTACTGTTTATTATGCTGCACAAGGTGGTTTTAACTTTGAAGTTTGTGGATGAAACACTAGTGGCTGACCATTCAAATGAAAGCTATTGAGCAGTACTTTCATGTGGTACTGTTTATTATGCTGTACAAGGTGGTTTTAACTTTGAAGTTTGTGGATGAAACACTAGTGGGTGACCATTCAAATGGAAGCTATTGAGCAGTACTTTAATGTGGTACTGTTTATTATGCTGTACAAAGTGGTTCTAACTTTTAAATCTGTGGATGAAACTCTAGTGTGTGACCATTCAAATAAAAGCTTTTGAAGAGGACAAGGCTATTTTTTAAAATTTATTTGTATTTGCAGACAATTCGCAGTAAAACAGGTTTTCGATCTGTTCACGGAACTCCATATTGGATGGCTCCAGAGGTGATAAACGGAGAAGGTTATGGTCGGAAGGCTGATATCTGGTGAGTCGTCATTGTCAAAGTTTATGATGCGCTGCGATTTTCTCTTTTCCATGTCATAACAAATTCAAATAGAACAGTCAGGAGAAAACAGGATCTAATCACAAAAACTCTTGATAGAAAACTAATTTCTCCACAGATAACTTATATGAAATGTAACCAGAACATTTAGGAGAATTTTCTTTCTGAAGTTGTTTGTCTGCCATTCGCAGGAGCCTTGGCTGTACCGTGGTAGAGATGTTGACAACCAAACCCCCATGGTCGGAATTCGAGCCAATGGCAGCCTTGTTTAAGATCGCAACGCAACCCACAGAGCCTTCATTACCGCACGACCTATCAGAGGATGCCAGAGAGTTCATTCAGTCCACTCTTACAAAGTGAGTACTATCACTTCGAATAGCTGGTGTGAAAGGGGAGGGGATAATTTTATTGGCCAGTTTTTTGGTAAGGAAGGGGACAGGAGGGCTTTTTGAACAGGAGCTTTTTCAAAGAAAAAAACACGTCCACGGAACAAGACTTGCTTGAGTCTAGAGGTTTTGCAAGGTGTGTGTATGTATCTTATTCTGATGACGCTAGGATAATGTGAAATCTTTACAAGAGCTCATGCTGTTTGACGGGGCATTGAAGCAACTCAGTCACGGTTTTTTGGCCACGTACAAAATTACCTTTTAATCGAAGGAAACCTGAAAATAGTAGTTTACTAAGAAAGAAAACAGCAAAGTGATAATAATAAACCATAATGGAACAAGAATAGTTAAGGATGGAGAAGATTAACACGGATTACAGAACTACGAACTTGAGAATATTAGGCTAACTTTTTCAAGATGCACAAACTGTGACGTAGCTACTTTAAGAATCAACAACAGATCGGTCACATTTATGATGCATCCACGCTGAGAACGCGTTCATTTTGTGCGCACATTATTTTAAGTGCACCTCGTATCGTCACGGAATCAGTCAGAGTATGATGTAAAGGCCTCTAAAGATAGCCAGCGTTAGCATGGATGACAGGGAGAGGAAGAAGTTGTAGGGAGGAGCGCAGACAGAGGCAGAAGTCGCAACAGTTGAGTAGGGAAGCAGTGATAGTAAAAGAAACAGTGGCAGTAACAGTGGTCATGTTCTTGGAAGTAACCACAGTAGTGGTAGCTGTACTGAGTGGTAGATACGCTAGTAGTATTAGAAGCAGTGAAGTATTACGTCGTAACAGAACCAGCAGTTGTACGAGCGAAATACGGAGGTAGAGGCTTTTGCAGAAGCAGGTGAAGTAATACTAGACGCAGCGAAGTTAGGTTTATTTAGTGTTGAAAACAGCAGGTCATGGTAGTGGCCGAAACAGGAACTGGAGGCAGTAGCAAAATGGAGAAGTCCAAAAATCAACAGTAGCGGTAGTGAAGGGGGAACGAGGAAGCAGTTGTGGCAGTGGTAGTGACATCACTGGTAGCAGCAGTAGTAGGGGCAGGACCAGTAGGCAGTGGCAGCGGCAGTAGTGGTAACGGGAGGCAGTAGCAGTAGAAGTAGTGGTAGAAGCCTCCAGAACGTTACAAGCAGTATCGTAGTTACAAGTAGTTGTGCGGGTTTTGCAGTCTTAGTTTTATCCGCAGTGGCTTAGTTATGTTGTTTGCTGGTTTGGTAGGGACTCCACGCAGCGGCCATCCGCAGATAATTTGCTTAACTTCAGCTTCGTTATAAATTCCGCCGTGACAACGTGCCTATGACGAAATCCGACAACGACGGAAGGTAATTGTGGGAAATGTTTCTACATGGGCACCAAGTCGAATGGTCGACTTCATCGCTTCGTTGCATCCTTTTGGACAACTACCAAAGGCAAATCGTAAAGACACCGAGAGGCAAACGTGTGAGAACAATGATGCAGTAATTTCTTACTGAAATTTTCAAAGACGGATTAGAGAAACGTTACGGAGATCAAGACGTCAGCTCGTAGAATTTACAGTCATTATGGCGGAGAAATATGGGATGACTTAAGGTGAACTGTCATCTGACATTTTAATTTAGGAGAGTTGATTCTCTGATGGATAATTAATATACGACGTCGTGTTGTAATAATTAAAAATTTTTACTGATCATAGATATTTTAGTGGAGAGTTTACTAAACGTTGAAATGCAATAAATGAAGAACTCTCGCTCGTGAGAAATGATTCAACTAATTTTACTCTTTAGCGTAAAAGGCGAATTTTCCAGCCAAGATTCGTATGGTTTTATTCCCCATACGACAAAATAATTATATACCTGGCCAAGGGACGCTAAGAAGAAGTTTAGAAGTTATTGTACTTGTGATGTTTATAGAAATTATATTCTTCAAAGTCCAGCCCGACGTTTTACTGAAAATCTATCGAAAATTTACCGAAAATTGATCTAGCACACTCGTGAAATGTTCGTTGTGAAAGTCAAAATTTCATTGGCTTCGAGTTCTAATTGGTTAATTGCACTTTTGGGGAAGTTGCTCGAGTATTTTGGATCAGTTTTATGGTAGATATTATAGAACTGCATGCTATTTTGCGCTGGACTCTTGAACTCTGCCCGTGTTAAAACAGGGAAATTCCATACCTAGAAAATTGAAGTAAGTAGGAAAATGGCATGAGTTTTTTTCCACACTGCAACAGGCTAGGTTTCTAGTTGATAAGTGGAATCTGCCTCTAGTTGGGCCTATGATGATTTGAGCGTGTGATTTAATCCTGTGTATTATTGTTTTGAAGAAAAATTTTGAAAATGCATGTAAATGAGCGTAAAAAAATTGCGTTTTTATGAAATGTAAATAATTGAGCTTGTCAAGCAGAGCATTTCCGTTGTTAAAATATTTTCTTTTTTACGTGCGATTTTATATTAAAACTCGCTTCAATGAATCACATGCCATAAAAAAGTGTATAAAATTGTACAATATTGATGTAGATAAAGTTGAGGGTGTAGATAGGTACATTGTAAAGAAATAAATTTGATGGTGTTATATTTCTCAAGCTATGATAAACCCAAGAACGAAGTGTAGAATGTAAAGACAACCTTCTTGGTCCGAATTTCACTGCTGTTTGCTCCGCCTGGGTTAAATTAACGGCTTGGGTTTTTAAAATGCTCTACAAGGTGACTTCAACTTTTACCTCTTTAGTGCTATTCAATTTTTGTTTTCCCCATATAGGACTTTTAGAAAATGTTGTGTAGGCTCCCATACGAGGTCACGGATTACACTAACTGTTAGTACTTGGGAAGAATATTTCTCGTCAAACGGTCTTGTACAGCATTATTAGCTAGCAAAACCAGATGAAATGACTGCTCATTATAATTAGCTTTCATTTGAATGGTCACTAGGGTTTCGTTCGCAGACTTTAAAGTTAGAACCACCTTGCACTGCATTGTAAACAGTACCACGGAATGTATTTCTCAATAGCTTTTATTTGAATGCTTACACTCTAGGATTTCATACACACACTTTAACGTTAGAACCACCTTACAGCATAATAAACCGCACTACATGGAAGTATTGCTCAATAGTTTCATTTGAATGGTCACACGCTACTAGAGTTTCATCCACAGGTGGCTTAAGAGTTGAGGTTTTCACTGCTGAACTGCAAACTAAAATGTCACCTTTTAGAAGGCCGGTAGTTTTCTCAAATCGTAAGCTGTACTAAAATTAAACTACTAGTTTTGTTTCGTTTTGAAGTCCTATGTGCTATCATATGACTGCTTTCAAGAAATCATTCTGTCCAACTTTGTTTTTGGGTAAATAGCTTGAGATGGTGAAAAAATATTCTTAGTTTAAATAGAAAACAAGAAATAAACTATTGAAATCAAGTTACCGTCTATTCAGTTTGACTTGAATATACGTGGTGATATCAATTCTACAGTTAGAGACTTTGGGCCCGGGTAAAACGCCGCACTTCACATGAGCCGAACCTAATTCAACCAATTAGGTACATGTAAAGTTCGGCGTCTGACCCAGTTAAGTTCGACTGATTTTATTTGGAGCGGCTGAGGCGTTCTTCGCGCCTGGCCAGCCGTGAATAACGCCTGAAGATCGTCTTTGGGTCAAACGGCGATCTTCACATGAGTCGAACCAAACGCATAACCAAAGGGTTAAAGGCGCCATTTTGACGTTACCTTGAAAAACCACTGAATAAGACCGCTTTTGTTATTTATTTGGTGTAGCAGATCGGTTCGACTGAATTAAGTTCGACGTTTGACTCAAACAGGCGTTCTTTTAATTATTTGAGTCGACCCAAATTGTCATTGGGTTCGGCTCATGTACGCCGTTTGACCCGGGCCTAAGTTGTCAGTAAGGTTCAAAACCATACACGCTTTCCATACTAAGGCGCGGTGGCCTGATGGTTAGTGCGCTCGTCCCCGGATCATGTGGTTCGGGTTCCAGTCCTTGTCGGGGACACTTTGTTGTATTCTTGGGCAAGACACTTGACTCTTCCAGTGCCTCTCTCCACCCAGGAGTACAAATGGGTACCGGCGGTTAACCCTGCGATGGACTAGCATCCCATCCAGGGGGGAGTAGAAATATTCCCAGTCGCTTCATGCTACTGAAATCGGGATAAGCTTCGGCCTGATGAGCTACTTCATGGCTCGTATGCAGCCTTACCTACCTTTACCTGTCCACACTAGTCTGGATAAATTTGAAAACGCATTTCGGTTTCATCCGGTTTGCGTTCACCGAGAACAGAGGCTGTTACAACGTGAACGAAAGGCCCAAAAATAGAGGGAAAAAAGTTCGTCGTCAAATTTACCCCGGTAAGTATGGACAGGGCGTGGTAATAGATCGCGGCTGCTGTTTCCGAGAGGAGTTTTCAAGCGACCTTGCTCTCCAAGCATGGGTGCACGATGTTCTATTGCTGGTTCATAAATTGTGGGTCGTGGAGCGGAGGAAGGGGAGATTTCGACCTGGTTGTTGAGTTGTAGACAATTTTTTTTTACTCATTTTAGCTTACCGTGCTTCCCTTCAGTCGCCGTCCGAGGCGAGAGGCGTAAACTTGAGTGTTCAAACTCGATACTCCAGGCCAGACAGCGCCACATACCGCGGTGAGATTCAGTTGGCACTAAGTAACTGGATTTGATCAAATAGAGATATCAACTTCTTTCCCCCACCGCCCCGCACATTTGCCCCGCTAGCCGGACTGGAATTTGACGTCAGCCGGCTGTTGGGGCATTTGAAACCAATGGAAAAGCGCAGAGGAGAATTAGCCTCGAAGTCATATGGTCAAGCAACACCGTTTTTTGTAACGTGGCAGGGAAAAGAAAGGCTTTCAATAGAATTGTGCTGTGTTTGAAGGTAACTAAAAAGTTGTGGTTATCAAACTGTAATCATTTGGATATTTTGATGGTATATATAAAAACAAAACTTTAGTTACTTGGGGCGCAGCTGCGTGGGGAAGGACACACGTAAATTTTGGATTGGTGTGTACCGCGAAGGGTCTTCTCGACTCCATCTATGGATCACACTGGGAACAAAATGCCAACACGGGCAAAAATGATACCCTATTTAAGGATCAAGAACCTCAAAAACCAATACTCTATCTCCGGGAGGGTGGGAAGATAAGAAACCCTGGAAACGAGGTTAAAAAATTCATAGCTTAATTTATATTTTGTTACAGGAAACGTTTGTTTCTTTCGTAGAGGCATTTGATAGCCCAGTATGACCCTTAGGTGAGGCATTTGAACGCAATTTTGGACCGGGGATTGGGAATTTGACTGCTCGGGGGTTTCCCCAGGAGTGGATGTTGAACTTTCGCATAGCTTGCTGAAAAATGAATTCTCAGAGGTTGATAGGTTTCCACAACAAGCACGGGACAATCGTTAATAATATTCTATGAGATAAAATATATACGCCTTTGCACCACACGCGGGGGGGTCTTGCTGAAAGAATATCGGCTTTAGATTTCTGCAGTGAGCAGGTATCGAGCGCAACTCCAAGATTTGTCCAAAATAGACCAAAGGCCGATATTCTCCTCGTAGCGTTTTGAGCAAGCTTGATGAACAAGACATGATCTTATGATTGAAGAAAAGTGTTGCCTGTCCAATATTTTTGGAAACATTCTTTGCATTGCGAAGTTTCAGCTCAGATGTAGTGCCTTTTGGGTCGTCATTGTAAATGCAAAAAAACAGCCATCTCTTGGAGTCCCCTAAATAAATCAATCAAGTTAAAATAAGAAGTAAATGAAAGTATAAAATAGATTTTATCTTTTTGTCAACGAATCTGCTATAAAATATCAGTGTCAGATGTATGGCATCTTTATTCACCGGCACGTGTCAAGTGAATTTAAATTACGCTTTGGGGGGTGGGGCGGGGGAGAATTAGAGGGCTTTCACTTGAGATTGCGATATTAACTTCGCTAGATTGTAGGACAGTGACGGGACCTTGACGTCAATTGGAGAGCCAATTAGAAAATTTAACTATTATTAAAACTGACTTGTGCCTGAAGGCACATTGAGCAATGTGATTGTGCTTTCGAGATTCGAAAGGGAAGCGAGAAAAAATTCAGGTTTTACAACAGCCGGTTGACTGAAAATTGCAGAACTGATCGTTGAATTCCTGTTATAAGTCAATGTTTTTTTACTTGGATACATCAGTGTGATGGAACGCAAAGAATCTGAAACTACCGAGTCGTGGAATAAAAACAGACGATCGTATATATACAGTGCTTTGAAATACATACCACAAGAAAAGGTAAGAATTACTGTTCGCAACGAATATCGACACCAAATAACCAGTTTTCAAAACAACTCAAGCCGCAAAACCAGTCATGTTCTATAGTGAAGTTGGAATGCGTTAATTCCCCACTAAAACGTAAAATGTGTGTCCGGTGCACGTGGAGTTCAAACATGTGGCAATTTAAGTATTGCCTTAGGGTACATACACTCCTCGTTTAGAAGAGTCAGTATTTAACCCATTTCTATACAGAATTTCACGAATGGGGTTAATGAACTCTTCGAAGGCAACACAAGTTTTAACCAAATTCGATAAACCAAAGTTTTCCGGTTTCCGAACAGTGAGTGTTTCAGTTTCTGAATCATAGACATTTGAAGTTTTATTTTGACGGCATTCAAGGTGTCAGTCTTAAATGTCGCAATTTTGAGCAGCTTTGCAACGGAAATTTGCATTGCTTCGGTTTTAAAAACAGACCTCAGTTCTCTTTTTTTCCATGCATGACCTCTCTTACGAGTTTCAAGTCCTGAGACATCAATTCAAACCTCTCGAACTTCTCTTTCGAATTCCACCTCTACAGGCGCGAATCATATTTTAGTTCTGTATCAACTGGAAGTGTGTTAAGGTAAAATTTACCGCCCGAGCGAGTTTGTAATGCTGACGTTTTGAGCGTCCGTCCTCTGTCTGACATTTGAAGGTTTCCAAATCGTCCGACGAAAGAAATTTTAATTCCATCAGTAAAATTAACTTTCTTACGCAGGCGTATATTTCTTTCTAAATATTTGTTTTATTCCTCTGTGAAGAGATTTAAAAGTAAGACTCTTTTCTGTTTGTTTAATTAATTCGTCGCTTCAAATTCAATTCCCTTCGTCTGGTCCCTGAACCGGGTCAATTGCCCTGGGGTGACCCCTGGGGGAACTCGTGGTTGAGCAAGCAATTTTTCCCAGGTATCCGCTCGGGTTTATTAGTAAACAAATCGTCCATGTTAGGCAATCTCCTTGCGAGTGATTCGGAAATCTTGTCCTCCTTTTTCACGGCTTTGCGTTTCGAATGAAAATCGACCAACGGACGAGTTCTCCAGTATTGCGAAAGCGAGCTGTTCAATTCACTGGATTGTTTGTTTTGACTAAAGGGCTCTTTGCATATGGATGTGGCCATTGGTCAAAAGTGACCCGCATCGAAGCGAGGGAATTCTTGTCAATATAAAGCCGCGATTTCTTCAGACATTCGTATTTACTTTTGCTGCGAACGCTTTACAACTTAGCCAAGATATGGACCTGGTCATTTCCAATGTTGTTCTGGGAGATCTCTTGGAATGAATGCGGCTCGACTTGAATTGCTTCGCGAATATGGAGGAACGATCGCCATCCGATCGTGACGGCGAACTCGGCGAGGACCAACCGCATCATGCTTCTGTGTGCAAGAAGGTGGGGATTTTTTTCTATGGCAATCGAGGCAGGGATGTGGGAATTTAACTTTATGCTTTAAATAATTTATTGGTCTGATAGCTCGATCGAGGGAAATTTCTACAATTGGCGCGGTGCTGTGTGAAGCACAAACCTGTCTTTTTCATGTTCTCGACTTCGATTCCGGCAGACTCTAAAAATACGCTGCAGAGACGTTATAAAGTCATACCAGAAGAAGGCACGTTAAATGGCATTTCGTAGTTATTCACGTGTTGTTACCTTGAAAAATGCTTGTGTTTAAAACCTCACTAAATTCTCTTTACATATGAAGAACGGCGAGAGATTTTTTTGGCGGCTCTAAATTTCGAATGCAGCCTTTTGTGAATATTTCGGTTTCCAAGACCATGCATAATCAAATCTTCTATCGTCCTTCAAGAAAAAAAAGCTCTCTTTTGATACTCCATTCTTTTTCCGCAACGCCCGTTCATATCTTACTCAGTTTGTATATTTCCAATTTTTTAAAGATAATTTTTGGATCGTTTGGAAAGGTATGCTTCGATGACCGTATTGAGCAATACATACGGCTGTTTGAAATTGACATGACAGCCTTTTTCACGTTTTCAACCATCGTTCCTGCAATTGTCTCAATTTTATTTCACTAGAAGTGTTTTATAAATTCATGGAGGACGTCATTAGAATTTTAATCCTTTTCAATTTCCTTCTGACTTTGTAGAAACGTATATAAATACCTTTTGCGTTGCGATACATGTTTTAAAGTGTCGAAGTCGCGCGTACATGCGTATTAAATACTTTGCATATGCGATCCATGTCAGAGGATAAAAGATATTGTTTTGGTTTCGCCAGGTCTCAGCTGTGTGCTTGTTAGGTTAAATCATTATCGTGAATCAAGAACAGCATGATTCAGCTTACAGCAATTCAAACAAACTTTCGCGGAGAAGAAAGGAAAGGATACGACTCATGATCCTTTTCGTTTTCACACATTCGAGAATGGATGATCATTGTTCGTGTTCGATACTTGGCATTCCAATAAACCCGTATTGCAGTGGGTTACAATATATCTTGAGAGTGAATTGGAGTGTTTCAAAATGTTACCAACGCACCGCAAATGTGCCCTTACCATATCAGATCAGAAGGAAAATAAACCACAGATGCAGTCACTTAATTTAAGGATTAAAGTGTCTTTAGTGTGACTTTTTGCAAATCGAATAATCCTTTGTTCTTTGTTGTGGTTGTTTATGAGTTAATTTTATTATGTCATGGTAACTGAGCATTTAACAACCCTATTATAAAAAAGCGAATCTAATCCTTTATTCTCAATGTTTGGGTTAACTGAGGTCCCATGATGTTATTAAATGGTTCAAGTGATCCTGTCCATGAGTCATATGTCAGGCATGTGCCATGCATCAATGAATCAGTGGCCCACCATTTACTCTGAATACTGCTCTAGTTGGCCTGAGTAGAACTTCTCTTAATTAACACTTTTTTGTCGCAAATGGGACTCAGGTTAGCTTCAGTACTACCCTTGACAGCCTGAATACTAGGTCAACCTGAATAACCTGAATGCTCATGTTAGCTTGTTTTAAGGTTAGCTCCATAACTAATTTGACCCATAAGTAATTTGGACTCGGGTTGACTGTCTGTAAAGGCACAGCTCGGCTGGCTCTGAATCTTAGATTGACAAGGTGTTGTAACAGGTCACGTCTCTACAAAGAAGCAATCAAATGAGTTTGGGAGGCAGTAGGGGGGGGGGGNGGGGAAGTGGAAGGCTTGTTTTCTGCAGGGGGAAGGCTCATTTATCAGAATTTGACAATACTACCTTTCTAGAATTATTGTAGAAAATTGATATACATTTCTAAATAAACATTTAGAAATGAATATCGAAAAATTGCAGAATTTAAGTGTTTGATAGATTTCCAGGAGTATATGTAAATATAGCAAGCTGTGAATTGTGAAAGTATGGTAAACAGGTGATGCTGCTTGTGACAACAGCTGTTCATACTGGTTCAAATGAAAACATATTCTATGTTTCTATTGAGTTTTAGTAGAATTCTATCAGGATACTTGTGTAAATGTTGTAGTCTGATTGGCTGAGCTATTTTAGCACTTTTAGCCATTAGTCTGGAGTTCCCGCTAGTTGTGGGTCCTTGGCACCCACAGTTCCAAAGAGCTGGGGTTTCTTTTTGTTTTTCAGGGTTCCTTTGCCTATTACTAAAATTTTTGGGATTGCATCCCAAGGATGCACTTTGCTTAAAAACTCTGTGTCCTTTTCATTTTTTGTGCATATGAGACTCACACCTTTGCATTAATGGGAACTCTGGATTTGTATAACTCTACCAGCATTCTGTCACAATTCAATCTGCACAAGATTCTCCTAAAGCCATTCAAAGGCCAGGTCACTGAGTAAACAAGTGTAAAATTGTCTATTCTACCAAAACAGTTAGATCTTGAGCTCCAGATTTCACTGAGGTGATAGTTGATAATAACTACTTCCTCTGTCTATTTCCTCTATAGAGAAAATGTATTCTACTTCTAAATTAGTGTATACATGTACTGTAACTTATGCAGAATTAAGTGAAATCTCTTGTTTATAAATTGAAATTATGGAGACAAGGATTTTGGCTTGCATATTCTGACAGGGTACTTTCCATCATACAGTTGAACCTCTCCACGGCAGCCACCTTGGGGACGGAGGAAAGTGGCTGTTGTAGAGAGGTGGCCGTTAGTGGAGGTTTGACTGTAAATTATTAGATTATCAGCTCGACATGAGGCTCAGCATGAGGTGACAGTTGTAATACTGTTCCTATGGTATCCTTTTTAAAACAATATGACTTAATGTACTCACCATGCCTCTCTGTACAAGGCAAGATCTATTAACTGGGTGCTGGAAAATTTATTGCTAATAGTAACCCATGTGGTGCACTGTTCAGTAGCATCTGTAGCTTCCAGTCTAGGAGGGAATAGAAATACTTCAGACATTAATTATCACAGAATAGGCCCTTTGCACGATCCGGTCACATGGTACAAAATCACACGTGCTGGTGAGCAAGCTGCACAGTGGGACTTCCAAAACAATGCAACTCGTACCAGTCCACCTGGACCTGCCTTTGTTTTGGAAGTCCCACTGCACAACTTGCTCACCAACATGTGTGATTTTGTACCATGTGACTGGATCATGCAAAGGACCTATTAATGTTATAGAAACTGGGATAAGTTCTTGCAAGATGAGACATTTTGGGCCAACATGGGCTTTGACCTTTTACCTTTAATGACACAGTTGAACCACCTGTAAGTGACCACCCAAAATGTCAAGCTTAGGTGGTCGCTTAAGGGAGGTAGTCGCTTACGAGAGCTTAGTCCATATAATTTTGGGTCAAAATTTTGCCTCATTAGCATGTGGTAACTGAGGAGACTTACTCCATGTTTTAAATGTTTTATTTGTGTGTAAAGTCAATTTCGTGAAAAAAATGGTACTTCCCATTGGAGAAAGGTTTGTCTGTTGTACTAGCCAGGAATGTGATAATGTTACAACACCTTATTATCCAATTTCTGCTCTATTATCTGTCAAGTGGTGGCTTACGGGAGGCTAAAAACAAATGAAAATTTCTAACTTTCAGTTCTAAAAGTGGTCGTGGTTGCTTACACTGTACGAGAGGTGGTCGCTTACAAGAGGTTTCAAATATAGTGATCTGACTTAGAAACTTTTGGTATTTTGGAAAACTGGTTGCTGAGGAGAGGGAGAGAAAGAGAGTCAACTGGAGGTTCGACTGTATTTGTGTTAACTTTCTTTTTTTCTCTCAGATGGAGAAACTTATTTATCAAATGCAAGATGAAAAATCTGGAGTGCCTATTCGAACAGTAAAGAGCTTTATGTCCAAGATTCCTAGTGTCTTCACAGGTGAGGAAAATGTAGTTGAATTGTGCCCACCTATAAAATTTATATAAAAATTTTACTTTCACACTCTGAGAAGTAAATGGGCTCTTTCTATAGATGGACCCTGGCCTTAAATGTTGGTGCTCCCTGAAAGGATCCTTCTCATATTAGATCTCAAGCCTTCCCATTTTTTGACCCTTCCTTATATGGGCCAATCCTATCAAGGGCCCAAAAATGGACCCTTTCCTTTCTTGAATCTCATTGATAGATGAAATACTATTTTTTTCATATTCAGGTAGTGAGCTTGTGGACTGGGTCATGAGCAATCTTTCTATTGAAGACAGAGGTGAGAGAATTTTGTCATTACTTACAAAACTGAGTTGTAGCATTTCTGTCAGAGTGGGCCATTTTGGAATTTAAATAAAAAGAACAAGATGTTCACTAGAGCGAAATGTGAGAGGTATTACATTTATATATTATCAGAAATCTGCTTGTTATTAATTAACAGGTTATAACCTGAGTATCAAGATTGTTTACATGTACCTTGTTTCATTTGCCAGTTCTCAAAATATAGACAATCACCATGAATGATTGTTTATATTTCGAGAATTGGCAAAGATCAAAAGAAAAGATCACTATAGTGACTATGTAAGTAAGATTGTGCTCGACTTGTAATTTTATTTAAAGTGTGTTCATTGTAATTTAGTTACTTTTACTTTTACTTTTTTAGTTACTGTAAAACAGCAATTTTGGGTATTACAGTCAGTTTTTTTGTAGCTGAACCACTGCAAGGGAAACACTGCTGTAACCTGGACATTCTTGTCTTGCTTATCCCTTCTGTGTAATTACTGAACTTTCTTTATGATATACACCTCACTAAAATTTCCAATTGGAGCTGCCCACAAGCTTAACCACCGTAGAGAAAGTTGACTGTAAATGTTTTTTGCAGATTTCCAATAGAAGGGTAATTGAAGTAACACTATGTGAAGTCTCAGTCTTAAGCTTCTATAAATTGATCTGATCACCCTGTGTTGTGTTGTACCTCTGTTGCTAAACTTATGACACAAATTCCTGACTCTTCCTGTGATCGAAAGTTGGACACTTGAGGTCAGCACACACGAGGGGACTAGTAAACGTAATGTTGAACCTGATGTATATGGGCCCTTGATGGACCTTTTTACAAATGTTGCCCCTTCCCAATTTTCCATTAAAACAAAAAATAAGTCTCATTGTTCAATTAATCTTGCCAAATTTAGTAAATATGCAAAGTTTCATTGAGAATCTGTTGCAAACTCATGAAAATATGGAACCCAAACTTGCCATTTTTTTATGCAGAAATGTACGCCAAGGGGCAGCACTTGCTTAGCATCCTTAAAGTGGTCCATTTTCTTGCATGCATTGATTCTGGAAAAATGGTAAATACCCTCAGGGAATGACAAGCAAACTTCTGTTTATTTTATTTTTATCCAGGTGCGGCAGTTCACTTGGCCTCTCTGCTTGCAGCTTATGGTTACATCTTCTCCATTACCGATCACCATTTGATGGTCAAAGATGATGCTTCATATTACAGATTCCAGGTGTGTCTCACCTTACATCTTTCAGGAAACATTCGCCAAGGGTATATCTTACCCATGACTGTACTGCTTGAATGTCAGTTGACAGTCTTGACTAGATGTGATCCACAATGCTCATTGTTTTCAAGAATCATGTTTTGAGTCTCAAGATATTTGAAGAATTTTTCCAGAATCTTGATTAAGGATTTTGAAGTTTTGACCCCGGCTTTTTATAATGTTAAATACAACATAACAATGACTTTGAAAAAGACTGATGTTCAGCGGACAATAATTAACTCCTCAGAGCTTTATTATCTAGCTCTCTGCACGCACTGCAGGCCTATGATGCTCCCTCCTCATAGGCCTGCAGTGCGTGCAGAGAGCTAGATAATAAAGCTCTGAGGAGATAATATTATACAATAATAGGCCTTTGTTGTTTTAGACTGGGTAAATAAGCAACAGCTTTTTTACTGGTTAACTACGTGCATGCTCTGCCAGCAGCTGCGCAGGACAAACTAAAATATTTCAATGTATATTTTTGACGCTCTCAACTTGATACTCATACATGTACATTTGGCTGTTGTGTTTGTTGAAACTCTGCCACTCAAAGCTGTCAAGCTTTGAGGAGCAAGTTGAGTTGTTCAAGTCATGAAAGTTTCAAGTACCTAGGGCTGGCATGGATAATACTCAAATTATCTCCCCTGTTAGGGCTTGAACCCACATGGCTCCATTCCGACCATTAGGTCACTGTGCTCCCATGGTTTCTGCCTGTATCGTGTGTGTATTTTAATACAATCCTTGGTTATTTATTATTGGCATTATTTCTTTCAGACACCATTTTTTTGGTTATCAAATAATTGGGAACCTGAGAATGTAGATTATGGTAGGTTGACTGCATAATTAACGTTAATTGACATTTCCAACATTTTTATCGTGGTCACTAGTAATTTTTGAATGCAGGCGGTGTACAATGTGTAGTCCCATGTAAATTATTGGCTCTGAGAAAACTGTTAGTGGAGCAAATCAGCTACTTTGACGTAGTTCTCTTTATTTATTTATTTATTTAACTTTGCCGAAATAAAATACCTATATACATCAAAATTTACTAGGCAGGAAGACCACTACAGCCTAGCCAATTACAATGGATCCCTCTTTAATAAGACTTAAACTAAAACTACATGTACTCATAAAAAACAAGAAGAATCAAAAGGAAACAAAACAAAAGTTCAAATTGCTAGAAACAGTTCAATGGCAGGCACAGAAGAGTCCTTACTATGTTGCTCCTTGGACAGATTGTTCTTCAGGTTCTTATGTCATCACCATCGTACAGATCTAGGGCCCTATTGTAATATTGAAGTAGTAAACATTTAAATGAGGCTAGAGAGATGTGACTTGTGTGTAACTCAGTGGGCAGAACATTCCATGTACAGCACGTGCGTATGAAAAATGAGTGTTGATTAAGGCATAGGGCTTGCAGCGTTAGTGCTACCCCTCCCCAAGTCGACACCTACACTGTATTCTGGACTCAATGGTATTGGCAAAAAAGCATTAGACTGTTGGGACGCTAGCCTAGTATAACTCACAAAACAATGTCCTACAGTTATGGTCATGTGGCAAAATCGCCACCTTCTGGCATATTTTGATAGGGCTTCTCTTTACCCTGGAATTTACCAATATCTCTGACAGATGCATGTATGCAGTAGGTGAATAGAGCCATTGTGTTAATAAAAAGGTGTCTTTTCCAAGAACTCAACTACAGAAATTTCAGGACTTGCAAGATCCTTGACTCTGAAGAACTTCACCTCTGTGTTGCAGTTCAGGAGCTCAATAGATTTCATTTGCCTTCATTTTTCAGCTGTTTATTTGTGTAAAAGGACAATGCAAAATAAGTCTAGACTAGAGCTGGATGACTATGAAGCGGTGAGTAATCTGGAAGTCAAATAATTTTAATATATAAAATAAAAAAAGAATCTTATAGGAAATCAATTGCTAAAAAGACAGAGGAGCATTTCTGTTTTGGGTTTATCGGATCTCATTTTTATATTGAGTAATGTAACTTATATTTTGTGCTGATGCGGTTTCATTGTTCTCCCTCTTAGGAAAATCTAGCCAAGCTACAGAGAACGCTTGCACGGAAGTGGGAATTTATATTTATGCAAGCTGAAGCACAAGCAAAGTGAGTGACAAATTCAGAAATAATAAAGAAAACACAGAACATTTGCAGGTTTCTCTACAGTCATTGGCTGTTGCTCAAGGTCTAGTGGCCTCATGGTTGGTGCGCTGGTCTCCGAATCAAGCAGTCTGGGTTTGAGCCCTGGCCGGGGACATTGTGTTGTGTTCTTGGGCAGGACACTTAATTGACTCTCACTGGGCCTCTCTCCACCCAGGTGTTTAAATGGGTACCGGCAAATTTAATACTGGGGATAGCCCTGTGATGAACTAGTGGTTGTGTTTTGACTAGGACAATTTTAGCTAGATAAGGTCGGAAAAGTCCGGAAATGCAGTGAAAACAGTTCGTCTTGTGTTTAGCGAGTTAAGAATGCACGCTGTTTTCACCTAAAAAAAGAAGCAATTTTCTCGCCAATATGACCAGAAATTCATGCCAAGTTATACTACCTCGCGAGATGGTATAACTCGTCCTGGTAAGTGCCGCGGCCAATCAAATTCTGCCTAGTGACAGATGCCTGCCAAAGAATCCGGCAATAGTATTTACCAGACGTTCGTATCGCAGTTCAGTGTGTGAAACTGAACTTTTAAAATGGTAGCCAAGTTCAGCAGTCCTTCTCATTTATTTTGGTTTACCATTCTAATGGTCCTGTTAGCTTCTCCAGTTCCTCAGCCAGGACCCTACCTATGACACAGCATCACTGTGCAGAACGAGTTCCTGCATTACAAAATTTTGTTGCATCTTCCTCATTTCTGGGGACGTTAACCGCATCGTCTGGAAGACGATGGGAAAATATGTATACTGATGTCAGCATTGTTCTTACAGGGTTGATAAGAAGAGAGACAAAATGGAAAGACAAATACTAGACAGCCAAGAAAGAGCATTTTGGAATGTTCACAGACCACCGGTAAGAAATCATTAGCATCAATATTTCTCCACCGCATAGTAAGGGATGTCACTAAGGGCTGGCTGTCGGCTAATTTCATTAGCTGAACTGGCTGAAAGAGAACTTAAATCCAACTGCAATTTCACACAAAAGCAAAGACTCAATAGACTTTGGAGCTGCTGGGCTCGGTATTCTCTGAGCTACATCTGTAAGTACCTATTGATGTATCAATATTTATACAATTGTTGTAGAAAAAACTATTCTTTAGTCTGTTCTTTTTGCAAGTATGTTGCTTTCCATGCAAAACTAAATCCATTTATGGAGCATATGCACATGGCAGCCATATTGGTGTTCCAAAACACTGAAACAGCAGCCATGTTGGTGTATCAAACCAATCCTGTGGGTGTTCAACTCTTTTCTTATATTAACACTTTATTTAGTTCCAATAAATTTGCATGGCTACTGGACTTGTGAGTGAATACGCTCTATATATTGTTTTTGTTTTTAGCCAGGTTGTGTGTCTGTGACTGAAATAGACATTAAAAAGGCCTGCAAAGCAGTAGATACGTCACCAAGTGTGAAGAGGAAGGTACGCCATGCAATGTACATATTTGTTGCGTTTATGTCCTTCTGAATTCTGCATATTGTTATTGTAATGTTGCAATGGACTAATATCCCATTGAGAGGGAAGTAGAAATACTTCTAGTCACTTCTTGCTACAGAAACCAATCACTCCACTCTCTGACAGCTAAGGGAAGCAGTCTGCCAGTTTTCACACAAGTGCATGGTTACAATAATATAATGCATGAGCAGAATATTATTTGCAGCAAAACACATTTTGACAGGTCTATGGATGAGCAGACCATTATTTTGTAAGCAGTTATTTGCAGGTCCTGTAGTGGGCTGTCAGCCAACTAAAAAAAGAAGGGAAAGACACATCAAATGATAATTTGATGATGTACTGCTCTCTCACAGGTTAACCTTTTGGAAGAAGACTCTCCACTATCATTATCCTCCTTGTCTGCACTGGACGGTGTAAAACAAGAGGTACAAGCTGTTAGAATTTCTTATGTTCTAAGTACAGTCCCTAAAATCAAGCAGGAGCTAGCTGCACCCATATTATCATACATTTTGAGTAGAAGTGGCTCCAAAAAAAGAATGATTTTTTTTATTTAAAAGGAGATAAGTACTGTAAGAGTGAAGGCACAGCGTGCTTTGCCCAGAGTCTGATATGTAACCAATAGGCCATTTTCACTGTCTTTGTACTGTACTATACTTATTGGTTTTCCTTAAGTGTTTTTTTTTCTTACTTGAGGTATGAATGTATTTTAAACATTTTGTTTTGGTTGTCTCCCTCTCGGCCAGAGAATGGACAATGTTGATAATATTGTTGTTTTATGTCGATAAACAAATTATTATATGATGTAATTAGTGTTGTAAGAAATGTTGTCTAGCTAGTAAGGTAATCTGTTGTTGGTGTCACGTCTTAAGGACAGTGCCTAGTAAATACAGAGGTTTTTGCGCCGGGTTAGGAGCACGCCGAAAAAGTAGATCTTTGCAAGGGCCATTGGAATCCACAAAGAAAAACTGGGATAACTACGCATTTTTCCGAGATAATCAGCCTTGAATCTCAGCAAAAATGTCGACATCAGCATTTTCTGAAAAAAGAAGGAAAGGATATTTCTTCACAAATTTTCTTCGAATTCTCCTTTGCAAACAGAAAAGCAAACACATTTATAAAGATCTTAAAACTGCATGGTAAATGGTAACATAAAATCCATTTTTGGTATGTTTTTAATATAAACAAAATCGTTGCAACAGCGCTTTTAGCGTCTCTGACAGCCTTCCTCTGATTCAGCCAAAATACAGTCCAAATACCTTCTGCTCACAACCAGAAACTAATCACGTGTTGAATAGGCTTGCCACTTCCATTTCATAACATAAAATGTGGGGGTAACCACGCGTTTTTTAAAGTTATTGATCTTTTTTTGAAAACTTTTACGGTGCTCGTTACATTTTTTCCTGTCACCTCCCCAGTAAGTAAAACATTTGCGTATTTCGCACTTGTTTTGCGCGCGTACTACGCCATCTGCAGGTACTTGTTTTACAGTTGGATTTCAGTATAATTTCGCCAGATGACAGCTAGTTTTTCAGCTGGAAGACGTTAACAGTTAGTGGTTAGTGAGATGCTGCTATTTTGGTGTTCCTGGTTTAAGTACGGGTTCATTAAACTTGATTTGGTCACAGCAGGAAAATTTTGCATTCTTTTAGTCGTGTACTTGGTAGCGTAGTTGATTGCGTCAATGTCAACCCCAGCGCGCGCGTGGCACTTAAACCATGCCTTGTGTGATGCGCAGAAGGTATGTGCACTAACAAAAGTAGGCACCGTCCTTAAAGAGCTAAATTATAGTTTGTGTTTATTCCAGGTGAAAGAATTAAGAGAACAGCTTCATAAGAGACGAATGAAGACTTCACAGGCTTCTGAAAGGTGTGCAACAAATTTTCATCAAATTTACCTAAATCCTTGCTCACAATACACATCTTTATGATCAAATGGTGACAGGGGGATTTTCTGGGCATTTGGGATTCGGACTTTTTTGAACAATACCTCTAGAGTGAGCAGTTCACGTTTTGGCCTGGGATGGACTTGTACCCTACCTAGAAGAAGTAGGAATACTCCAAGATTTGGACTTTCCCTTTTTACCAAGTGTCCTAGTGCCTTTCTAATAGGAGAGCAGGAATGGCACAGGGGTGAGAGCGCTTCGCCTTCCACCAATGTGGCCTTGGTTTGAATTATTCTGGACCCAGCGTCATAAGTGGGTGGAGTTTGTTGTTGGTTCTTACCTTGCTCCGAGGGTTTTTCTCCGGGTTCTCCGGTTTTTCTCCCTCCACAAAAGCCATCACTTCTGAAGTCTTATTTGATCTGGAAACAGTGGGCAAAGAGCCTCTCTGTGGGATGTGTCACTACAAATTCCTATTTATTTATTTATGTATGTATTTATCGATTGATTGATTGATTGATTTATATTTAATAAATACCTACTTTCTAATGAGCACTTCCCCTTAAGTTCTGTGTACTTAATAAACGCCCATACTCTAACAATCTTAACATCGAATAGATCGATTTGAAATTACGAAGCCAATTGCGTTATGACTATAGTTTCCTTAATGGTTCAGTTGTCGAGTTAAAGATCTATTGTCGTTCACTTAGGTGCTGTATCACCTTCAGATGTTGATATCTAAAAAGGAAAAACGCGCACCTTCCGCAATAAGTGATCGCTGTCTAATAAGCGCCCTCGCTAGAGTTACCAGAGCTGAATTTTCTCCCCAGGCACTGAATAGATTCTTTCCTTTTTTGCAGTTTTATTCAGAGATGTGAGCAATATGCCGAGTATGATGCATTTATTTGGGCTCCTGATCCGTCCAATCCGTGGGTGTCAGATGATATTACGCTTTGGGAACAAGATAAGAGTTTGTAAGCTATTATGATTATAACATTGAGGTTAAAGATGATTTCCATTCCGTACTGCGCAGTCTCGGCACCAATGTTTGTGAGTCTCACTGGATGGAATGCGAATCGATGTTATTCGTTACTAACTGCATACGTTATCTTTGAGGCATTTTAAATTGTTTTTCCAACAGTTTCTTTGATTTTTACAGGTACGAAATTGTTTCATCTAGTGATACCAGAAATAATTACAGTTACTGTATTGGCGGTTGGCATGAAACTTTGAATTTACTTCATGTAATCAGTTGCAAAATGGTACATTTTGTGACGTCTTACATGAATCAAAACAGAAAACGTAAACAAACTATGGAGAGTGCGCAGTACGGACTGGAAATCATCTTTAAGACATTAAGGACGTTTTCTAAACCCAGCGCCCGTTATTCAAAACATGCTCAGAACAAGCGTCAATTTTGATATGATTGTAATGTGTAACTTTCCGGTAACAGTTGCTATTTAACTTTTCTGCTCTGCAGGTCTTACTTCAGCTATTCTCAAACTCTCAAATGAAAAATTCTGTACAACGGGGCTCGAGATAATAGACTAAAAGTCACATCTAAGGCGGAAAAATGATTTGTGTTTAAGATAACGTGGAATTTGAGATAAAAGGGTTCGAGATAGCGAGTTAAGTTGGGTAGTCACGAGCGTTTGCAAACCGCAAATATGCAGTTTCCAGTCTTCCATCTGGGTTGTCACACAACGCTTCCCCTCACCAAGGCCTGGTTGACACTAGCGACATAATGACATAATGACACAATCGCTTATGTGGGTAACGTGAACATCGACATATAGCAATCAGGAAAGAATCAGTTTTTTTCCTTCTGTCATTATGTTCGTGCTTTTATGTTGCTATTATGTTGTTATGCCAGGATGTTCACACTGCAAACATAACGGCCTTCTTATGTCGTAATGTTTACGTCATTATGTCGCTAGTGTAAACTAGGCTTAACTGGGCACGAGCGTTGCCTGACGACGCAACTATAGGCTGCGAAGGTGACCAGAATAACTCATAGCGACTTGAGTACAGCCAAACTATGCGATTTAATGTCAGATAGAAGTGCCTGTGAGTTTGGACGCTTGCTTCTAACATGTGTCTGTTGAACCAATAACTGCTTATCACTTCTTTTCTCTACCTTGATTTGTCTGTGAAGTTCTAGAAATTCTGGGGTGAAAGAATACCTGATCAGTCACATCAGTATTTTTGATAAGAAATACCTTTCTTATTTTCTTGCAGACATTATGTTCCTCCGAGGCGTGTTAAACAATGGGGATTCTCGTTATCCGAACTTCTTGCTGATCCTTTAGGAAGAAGACATTTTACGCGGTTTTTAGAAAAAGAAATTAGTGCAGAAAATCTAGGGTAAGAAACGTAGTTGTATGCTTAAACAACAACAACAACAACAACAACAGCATTTAAATGCAGCCCCAGGCTTGTTCTGGCCCTCTCTCTTTTACGCAACGCTACACAGCCAGAGGACCAGAACTAGAGTAATATAGGCTCGGAGTGCTTGTGTGAAACGCTTTTTTTCTTTTAGGAAATCAGGTATTAAAGTTTGCACTGGCGTTTTTTTTCTTTCAGATTTTGGTTAGCTTGTGAACAGCTCAAAGCGACACCAATACGACATGTACCAAGTAAAGCTCAGGAAATATTTAAGTAAGTTCCAGTTTTGGTTTTCATTTATATAACTTCCCCAAACTAGCATACTTAACTTATATACAACAAAAATCATTAGGCTGGGAGACCACTACACTACTACGTCTCAACGGTTTCGAGCATCTGAGCAGTGACAAGAACGGAGAAACATGCACGTGGAGGCAAGCGCGGGAAGACATGTCACCGGTGAAAAGAGCGGGAAAACATTATCCGGTGGAAAGAGCGGGAAAAAGACTTGTATTCGGTGAAAAGAGCGCGAAAATTCGCGTGCGCCAAATCTNGGAAGACATGTCACCGGTGAAAAGAGCGGGAAAACATTATCCGGTGGAAAGAGCGGGAAAAAGACTTGTATTCGGTGAAAAGAGCGCGAAAATTCGCGTGCGCCAAATCTACACCTGATTGGCTAAAAAGGCAATATGGTTACTATGATAGACTTTAGGTCGCACAAGTTTTTGAATCGATAGACAGTTCGGAAAAACGGAAATGTTTTATTTTAATATACTACTTTTGCACTATATGAGAGGGTTTGAACATAATCCGTGCTAGAGAAGTGGAGAGAGCCACTTGCTCAGAAATCCGCAAACTCAGACGGATTTTCGCTTTAGCTTTTCACTTGAGTGCGAAATTTCGTTACTCTATCTCTGAAGAGCACAGGTTTTAGTTTCGATTACCCAAATCTCGTCTCATTTTTGTTTTAACCAATTCGTTACTGATTCCTTACTGTAAATTTTGTCTTTTTTTTTCTCAGTGAATATTTATCTGAAAGTGCAACGTCTCCAATTAACGTTGATTGTAAAACAAGAGAAGAAGTAGAGTTAAATTTAAAACATCCTGGACGATACATGTTTGACGCTGCTCAGGTAAGCATGATCACATGAACGTAATTTTAAAAATAAAACTGAATTGTGCTTTCAGATTTTTACAGAGTAATGGTACAAAGTCTCAACTACGCATATGAACACGGACAACTGAACACTACGCAAAAACAGGAGATTCGCGGGAATTGAGGAACCTTCCTTCCACTTGGCGACATGTGCAGCAGAAAAAGTTGATTGGCTATTAAAACTTCGAAATAGTTTGCCCGCAACCCGCGCTGTTTATCCGCGACCCGCGCCTTTTACTCGCGACCCGCTCTGATTAGACACTCCCGTTCTACCTCCACCTCCTCATTATCGTTTAATGAAGTTAGGTTTTGTTCATCCATAGGACCACATTTTCCAGCTGATGAAATCGGACAGCTATCGCCGTTTTATCCGCTGTGACCAGTACAAAGAACTTCTCAAGGCTCCTGCAAACAAACAGAAAAGGTCAGTAACCAAGTAGTGAAGTTCGCAATGTAGTGTGGCGCTTGTTTTGTTTGGTTTACTTGCAGAGTTTAGTGATTGGTTGCGTGAAGAATGCGCTAACCAATTAGCTTTAGCCATTGGTAGCCTTATTTCCGTGAGAGATGGCAAAGAGCCAATCACAGCTTGGTTAAAACGCTTGCAACCGGTGTCTGTTTTGCTCTTTGAATGCGCTATTGAAGACCCTGTGAATTGCACTTAAGTGGTTTTGTGTCAGTTAAGTTCTTAGGAAGCCACCGTAGTAGTCAATAAATTCAGCTATGGAAAAAAGAACTAAATTTTCTGAAGTTCTTATCGCTAGACTAAAGTTTCAGGTTTGAAGGAAATTACTGCATCACCCGTGGCGAGAATTCAAACTTTTTTTGGACTCGGAAATAAGTGGCGTTTTGAGTAGTCTCTCGTACAAAACGCCCTGGGCTCTATTAAATGTAATCTCGTTTCTTTCTTTTTCAGTCCACTTCCCACAAAACCACTACAAAATTTGGCGCGGATTGCTGGCAAGACATAACGTCAGTTGTACTGGATATTTATTTCTTTGAGAATAGACTATAAAGAATTAATTCTACCTTTACATAATGGAAAAAGTGTTCTGTAGCCTTAGAACAACGATTTAGAGGAGCAGAACGCAGCGCGAGGAACTCAAAAGGGAGCGCGTTTTTCTTCCCTAAACTGCTTGTTGTGCAGCTCACCCTTACGATCTGATGCCCCTTGTTAGCCTTAGGAGTAAATATCATTTTGTTATTATTGTTTTGAGATCGCTTATTTTTTTTAAACGCTTGTTAGAACCCATAGGACATTTAGTCGCTAAGTAACTTGAAGACTGATCGTAAGAATTTGTTTTCGTAACGATCATTGTTACTTGGTGAATTGTAACGCAACCTGTCATGAGAACGTAGGTGTGTAATTCTAGGTATTTTAGTGGCAAATGGAATGAATATCAAATTTTGTATAGCAGTTGGCCATTTAAATAGTGTTTTGTTCACAGTAAATGATCAAGTTCAAAAATTTTGATGTGAATGGCCAGAGAAAAAGAAACCAGTTGACATGTAGGTGTATTTTCAAAGTAAAAATAATTTTTCAGCTAATTCTTCTAACGCAATGTTTTTTTTCGTTTCCACAACCTTCTAACTGTAAATTCCACGATTCGATGAAACTGTGGCATTTTGTTGATTTAGGAGTTCCTGGTCTTAAACTGTCCTGACTTTTCCGATGATTAAGAAAATACTGTCTAATTTCTTTAAAATTCAGCATGCTATATATAAGGTAGTCATTATGTTGTGCTGTTTCCGTATTTTGTATTTCTGGAGAAGCTTGAAATTGTAAATTCAACGAGTAATTGAAGACTTGCACAGCCGTAATTTGGGTCGTAACGCAACGCTTTTCGTAACGGCATTATGTCACGCAACGTCTCTTGTAAAAGCTCTGTGTCACGATACATGAAACGGGTGTGCGTTCCCCACTAGTTAGGAAATTAATATAAAAAATGTACAATTATAAAAACGTGAATGGAATCATTTGAAACTGTATTAATAGTTATTAATCTATTGAGATTTGACATCACTATCATATAGTAAAGTGATAAATTGGCTATTTAATGGATAAATAGAATTTATTGAATAACACAAAGTGATTTATTGCGAGAAATATTCTTGAAATGAATAAAGACGATTTTTTTTCCAGACCAGCTTTTAAAAACACACTCCATTAGTGTATTTTTTGTTTGGTTGTTTTTTGACATACTATAATTTAAAATGTGATCCCTGGACTGGACCATGACCACACACTGATGTAAGCACAGAGATGCACTGAAACTTATTGAGGCATGCATCCCAAAACTTGTGGTTGAGATGCACCGTAGGTTTGATTTCCACCACTCACGTC